CTGAAGATCGTGGTTCAAAGCCAGCTCGGGCAGGAAAACCCGTGAGACTCTGGTTTCCAATGAACCACCAGAAAACTGGAAGTGGCGCTGTGGCTCAAGTGGTAGAGCACTAGCCTTGAGCTGAAGAGCTGAGGGACAGCGCCCAGGCCCAGAGTTCAAGTCCCACGACCAACAACAACAACAAAAAAAAGAGTTTGGGGAAGCATTTTTCTCAGGAAGGCGTACATCCTGTCCAACAAGTGTTCATTCTTGGGGTGAGGAATATATCCCTTAGAAAGGAATGCATCCTGTAGTCTCTCTTTGAAGCAAAGATGGCTCTTCTCTGTCTCCAAATACCATGTCTGTGAGTGGCCTTCACCAGTCCTCATTTCTCTCAAGTTTTTCTGCCTCATTTTCCCCCAAACGGCTTTGGTCCCTTGGTCTTAAGGGAAGTAGCAGGATGAACATGCCCTGCACTTGCTGGAAGCTCACCAGGCCTCATTTTCCCCTAGTCTCCCCTGCTTCTAACTCACTGTGTACCCAGCTCACACAAAGAGAGGTGAGGGAGAGGGAGAGGCAGGGATCCCCGAATTCCAGGTTTGACTGACCCCCACCCCACTTCCCTTCCAGGATGAAAAGATTCCAGAACTTGATAGAAGTGAGGATCGACAAGGCCGTGCATGCTTCCTTCCCAGTGGGCTTATTTTCCAAGAATTTCAGTTTTATTTTCAAAATGGGGGAAAAAAGTGCCGTACTGGGATGGAACTCAAGCCACGCCCCCTCTCCTGGAGCCACGCCCCCGCCGCCGCGGCCCGCCCACCGTCGTGGAACCACGCCTCTGATAAGGGGCCACGCCCCTATAGTGGAGCCACGCCCACTGCCGCTGAGCCACGGAGCATCTCACTTCACACCCAGGCCAGCCTGGCCTTCCAGCCTCCTACCCGAGCTGGAGGACAGGTATACGCCACTGTACACAGCTGTCGGCCGCTGTTGAGCTGAACTGTGAGATCCTCCAGATCGCCACCTCCTGGGTAGGATTACAGACTGGAGCCACCGCACTAGGCCGGCACTTCAAGTTTGATGAAGATGGAACAGTGTTATAGCTCAAATGCAAACCAAAGGCTCCCTCTGGCGGCAGTGTGGAGAACAGACCCAGCTGTGAGCCCCAGCGAAGGGCTGGAAAATCGGCAGAAGGGTCGTCTGGCCAACTGGAGCGAACCAACCATGTTCGTGATCCACCTGCTCTCAGTTAATAGCTAAAGGGGGGAGAGGGAGGGAAGGGGGAAGGGGGGGAAGGAGGGCGGCCCTGGCTTCCATCCGTAGCACCCGTATCAACCAATCAATCAAACAAAAGAACCGAAAGACAGGAATCGAGCACAGAGAAGTCTACTTTACTTGGAAAACACAGCCTAGGGATTTGAACCCCTTGGATGTTCTCAGCCAGGCAGGCGATGCTCCAGGACATGACTCGCAACAGCTCAGCTGCACAAAGTGGCCTTGATTTTTTTTTTTGGGGGGGGGGAGGGTGGAGGGAAGGGAGGAGAGGGGATCTGGGAATCTAAATGCATTGCGCATAAATCATTCTTGGCTCACTGAGAAAAATGTTCTATTTAAAGAAATCCTGCTGTGACCCCTTCGGTAAAGAATAATTAGTCACCACTGAGTCATTTCTTCCAAACTGAGCGTTGCTTCATTGCATCAAAAAGACGTTGGCTTGGCGAAGTCAGGTAAATTATAAATAGATGCGGTGAATAAATTATAGAGCGCTCAAAGGAAAAAGAGGAAAAGGGGAGTGGAACTGGCGCGTTGCTAAGCCTCACCCCAGCCCTCTCCGCCCCAGGGGCTGTCATTTGATTGAAAATGCTCTTAAAGAGCCAGTCACCAGTAGCTCACACCTGTCATCTCTGCTACTCTGGAGGCTGAGATGATATGAGCATTGCAGCTGGAAGCCAGCCGGGCCAGAAAAGTCCATGAGACGCTCATCGCCAATGAACCAGCAAAAACGAACGGAAGTGGCGCTGTGGCTCAAGCGGTAAAGCTCCAGCCTTGGATGAAAAAGCTCAGGGACAGCGCCCAGGCCCTGAGTTCAAACCCCAGAACCACCACAAATTCAGAGACAGAGACAGAGAGATCTGTAGAATGTCAGTGTTTGTCCGATTGGATAACGAAAAACATCTCACCCGAACTTGACCTAGTTAAAGCAAAAACCTCAGTTCAGGATTAAAAGGGAGTGGGGGGGGGGGGCGAGGGTTGGGGAGGCTCCGCCCTGGTTGTCATGACAACCGAGCTGGCGTCTGGGCGGCCCGCAGGAGCCCCGCCCCCAGCGCGCGCATGCGCCCCAAGCAGACGCGGAGTGAGTAACCCTGGCACAAGACCGGAATTCTCTGTCCCGGAGAATTAGGGTTCCAAAGAAGCCGCGAGGGATGGGAAGTTCGTCTGGGCTTCCACTTGGGGGTGAGCAAGACACACACACACACACACACACACACACACACACACACACACACACACGTATTTCTGGACAGTCTCCATCAGTTTCTCTACTTGTAGCCCAGGAGTTCACACCAAACAATAACTCAGAATAATGATCTTATTGAAATTGGTGTTGGTTAGGGTTGTTTTGTTTTTTCTCCTGCCAGTACTGGAATTTGAACTCAGGGCCTCAAGCTTGCTACCACTTGACCCCAAGCCCATGCCTCCAGCCCTCCTTACTTATTTATTTTTATTGTTTTCTTCAAATAGTTGTCCAAAGGGGGTGCAACGAATTATGTCTGTATAGGTGTATAATACAATTTGACCAGTCACGCCCTCCACCTTCTCCAATCCTATTTTAGTTTTTGCATTTGTTATTTTCAAATTGGCGTCTCACTGTCTGCCTAATTGTCCTTCTCTGTGTCATTCGTGATGGCCAGGAGGCACCATTGCACCCAACCATTGAGTGAGATGGTGTCTCTCAAACTTCTATGCCTGAGCCGGCCTGCAACTATCTCTGTAGTCCCAATATCTCCCCCTCTCCTATAGCTGGGATTACAGGCTTGAGCTGCCCTACTGGGCCCATGGAAATTGTTTTAATAAGGGTGAAGTGGAGCATAAGGGAGAGTTCTAGAGGGGGTGAGTTTGCCCAATACATTGTGCACATGTATGGGAATGTCACAATGAAACATCCTTGGTACAACCAATTTAGCCTAATTAAGAAAACCTCATTAAAATTTTTTCTCTGCATTCCCATGTTGAACACATACAAGGCAACAGTAAAGTTCAGATGCTGTGAACACAAGGTCTGGCATGAGCAGAAAGAGCTAAGTCCCACCTCGAGCTGTGTGGACTACATGTTTGTGTTACTCTAATGACAAGAGCGCCTGAGAACTTGCTTCTGAGGACTTCTGAGCCCAGGGATAACAATCTGGGCTCCAGTGGCTGGAAATGTGGCTTTGGGGTAGAGTGCTTGCCTAGCATGCATGAAGCCCTGGGTTTGATTCCTCAGTACCATAGAAACAGAAAAAGCCAGAAGTGGCTCTGTGGCTCAAGTGGTAGAGTACTAGCCTTGAGCAAAAGAAGCTCAGGGACAGTGCCCGGGCCCTGAGTTCAGATCCCAGGACTGGCAAAAAAAAAAAAATCTGGGCTCCAAACATTTTTTTGGTGTGGGGGTGGGGGAGATCAGTTGTGGGGCTTGAACTCTGGGCCTGGGTGCTGTCCCTCAGCTCTTCAGCTCAAGGCGAGCACTCTACCACTTGAACCACAGTACCACTTCTGGTTTTCAGGTGATTTATTGGAGTGAAATCTCCCGGCCTTTCCTGTTGGGGCTGGCTTTGAAGAGCAATTCTCAGATCTAAGTCTCCTGAGTAGCTAAGATGACAGGTGTGAGCCACCAGCACCCAGCTCAATTTATTTATTTGTTTATTTGTTTGTTTTGGGTCAGTTGTGGGACCTGAACTCTGGGCCTGGGTGCTGTCCCTCAGATCTTCAGCTCAAGGCGAGCGCTCTACCACTTGAGCCACAGCACCAGTTCCGGCCTTTTCTGTTTATGTGGTGCTGAGGAATCGAACCCAGGGCCTCATGCATGGGAGGCAAGCACTCTACCACTGAGCCACCTTCCCAGCCCTCTAATTTTTAAAAATTGTTTGTCATCCACGGACTTGAACTCAGGGCCTGGGCTGTCCTTGGGCTTTTTTGCTCAAGGCTAGCATTCTACTTGGATCTACAGCCTCATTCCTAGTTTTCTGGTGGTTAACTGGAGATAAGAGTCTCACCGACTTTGTTACTCAGGCTGGCTTAGAACCACGATCCTCAGATCTCAGTCTCCTGAGTAGCTAGGATTACAGGTGTGAGCCACACAGCGCCAGCTCCAAACAATTTAGCAGTATGGATGGACTCTTTTCCCCACTTTTCACAGTGCCTATGACAAATCGCCGTTTGGCACTAGTGGTCCTCTTTGACCCAATCCCAGGGGCATAGTACTCACTAAGGCAGCTAATAGCCATTGAATGAATCAGATTCTGGCTGGACACCGGTGGGTCACGCCTGAAATCCTAGCTACTCAGGTGGCTAGGATCTGAGGATCGCAGTTCGAAGCCAGCCTAGGCAGCCTCTTATCTCCAACTAACAAGCAACAATGTGGAAGTGGAGCTGTGGCTCAAAATGGTAGACAGGCCTTGAGTTCAAGCACACACACACACACACACACACACACACTATTTTATTTATGGACACTGAAATCTCACTTGTCACTTACAAATGATATATTCTTTCCTGCTCCCAAACACTTAATATAAGAACTGTTACTTGGACGATCATCACCTGCTCAGCTAATCCCAGGGTTTGAGCAGCTCGTGGGCCGTGTCAGGAAGCGGGTCTCGGATTGGTCCTCCGGGAATGACGGTGTGGGCGTGGCTAGGTGATTTACGCACGGCTGGGCGGGGCGATCCCGGATTAGTCCACTCGCGCGGTAGAGGGCCCCGCGGCGTCTTGGGACACCCAGCCAATCAGCGCAGCGTCTTGCCTAGCCCCGCCCCCGCGCCGGCCGGGAGGACGCGACGCCGTCCCGCAGGCCAGGGCGCACTTCCGGGACGGTCGCGGCGCTGGAGCTGGAAGAGGTCCGGTGAGTGCGGGCGGTGCGCGGCGCCGGGACCGGCCGTGCACGGGGTCTCGGGGCCCTGCGGACGGGAGCCCAATGCCTGGAGCCCACCCTGCGCCCGGCGGGTGAGCCGTGGCCCGAGTCCCCGTCATCGCTTCACCCGCGGGACAAAACAGAGGCGCCCGACGGTGGCGAGTCGTGGTTGGATTTTTGTCATTTGATGCGTGAGGCAGAACCGCCAACACCCAACTGATCGAGAACCTTCCGTCCCCCCACCCTCACCCGCACCCCCCAGTCCTGACAGCAATCGGAGCGGGTGGATACTTTGATCAAAATCCCATTTTAGAGATGGGGAAACTGAGGCCCCGGGACAGCCCGCGAGGCTAGGGATCAGCATGATGGCGATCTCTTTTCCCTGTGTCCATCACAGCCCGGCCCCCACCCGGGGAACACGCAGGCCCCGACCCCTCCCGTTCATCCGAGGGTGTCCTCTCCCCCCCCCCCATGGAGATGGGAGAGGAAAACTGGTGGGGGGAGGAGCTTTGCACCCCATCAGTTTCAGGGGGGCGCTCAGAGCACCCTCCCCGTGCCAGCTTGCCACGGGCTGCTTAGGGTGGTAGAAAACCAAGTAGCCAATTAGGGATGCTGCTGTTGTTGTTTGAGACAGAGTCTCCCTGGATAGCCCAGGGGCGAACCTTAGACTCGGTCTTCCTGCCTCCTTCGCAAGCAGGAGGCCCTAAATTCAATCCCCAGGACTGGCAAACAAGATTAAGGGGGAAGAGGAGTAATAGGGGGGTGAGAGGGAGGAGGGTCGGGGAGGAGAGGGATTGCCAGAGGAAAGTAGGGGGACAGGAATATTTTAAGAGATCCCCCAGGCTGCTTTGGGGGTGGGGAAGGCAATCAAAGCCAGGACATCAAGCTACAGCAGTCCAGGTGGAACATGGCTAAAGCTGGGTGGAGTTGGGGTCATGGAGGAACAGGCTCCATTGTAAAATCGCACTGGCCATGGGACGGGCAGGACTGACTGCCTTCCCCCCCCCCCCTCTCATGGAACAGACGCTGCTCTTGGGGGCCGCCTACATCTGCCAGGAGCCTCCTCTGTGCCAGCGCCACCCCTTGCCCCCCCCCATCTTTGCAGGGAAGCTGTAGCCTCTTTGCCAAGCTCTTTGCCAGGCGGGCAGGTCCAAGCAGCGTCCGCCTCACGCTGACCGCCCTGCAGGCCAGGGCTCCAGACAGCTGCCAAGATGGTGAGTAGCTAGCCCTGTACCCCAGGATTGAAGTCTGTGGGGTTCCAGAAGTAGCCCCAGTTCCTCTCCCTCCCAGAGCTCTGAGATATTTATTTCAGTTTGCTGGATACCATAATCACCCAGGGAATTTGTTCTCTTCTTTTTTAAAAAATTAATTTGGAGGGGATTTGAGATGGATGGGGTAAGTGCGTTCTCACTATGTGGCCCGAGCCAGCCTCACACCCACGATCTCCCTGCCTCTGCCTCCCTGAGGGCTGGGATTGCAGGCATGCATCACTGCACTCATGTGTCTGTATTTTTACTGTCCGTTATATCACAGTTCCTGCCCCCCCCCCCCCAAAAAAAAACCTGAAAGACACTACTGGAGGGAAGTGTGAACCTTATGTAATTTTTCCAAACTCTGGTGGCCACTGGCTGATGAAGCAGTGGATTATTGAGGGTACCCCCCCATCTCCCTGTGCCCCCCCCCCCCCCCCGGCATGACTGTATACACTCCGCTGACACCCCTCTGTGCTGTTCTGCAGGGTGAAAGGAAAGGCGTGAACAAGTACTACCCTCCGGACTTCAACCCCGAGAAGGTAAGGGCTCCCCCAGCCCCCAGTCCCCTCCACTCCACCAGGCACCAGGTCCCCACGTCCCAAGCGCTCGGGGCTGTGCGTCCCAGACACGTTATCCTGAGCACAGGCTGCGCTTTCTCTATGGGGAACTTTCCCCGTGTATCAGAGCAGTGAGGGAGCCAGTACCCGGGCTTCACCAGACCTTTGGGGGATTAAGGACCTGCGAGGCTCAGGAAGTGATGAGGGACCAATCATTGTCCCCAGTCGTCAGATAAACTCAGGAAGCTGAGGTTCAGGAAGACAAACTGGGATTACCAACACCCTCTCTCCCCTCCCCCACCTCCATGCAAGATCACACCTTTCTTTTTTTTTTATTTTATTTTTTTTTTGGTCGGCCGTGGGGCTTGAACTCTGGGCCTGGGCGCTGTCCTTCAGCTCTTCAGCTCAAGGCGAGCACTCTACCACTTGAGCTACAGCGCCACTTCCGGTTTTCTGGTGGTTTATTGGAGATAGGAGTCTCATGGTCTCTCCTGCCCGGGCTGGCTTTGAACCGCGATCCTCAGATCTCAGCCTCCTGAGTAGCTAGGATTACAGGCGTGAGCCACCAGCGCCCGGCTTAGATCACACCTTTCTTAAGCTCATCGCCACGGTGGAGAAGCTACAAACACACACACTATATCTCACCGGCTCTTTGTATGTATGGATGCAGCCAACCACAGATCAGAAATGGTCAGAACCCCGCTGGGGGCGCAGCTCCGGTGTAAGGGGCGTGGCTCACGTGGTGGATGCAACCAACCACTGAACAAAACTGGGCTGGGGGCGTGGTGAAGGCGGCCAACTACAGATCAGAAATAACGGGGCTGAGGGGTTGGCTCAGGCATTGGGGGCGTGGCTTATATGGTCCAGGAGGTGTGGCTCAAGTGGTGGAACAGTTGCCTCCCAAGTAAAAGGCCCCAAATTCAAATGAGGCAGAACTTCAGAACCAGCAAACTTCTTCCTCCCGGCTAGTGAGTGTACATAGCTCTGGCAGCATGTCACCTGCAGACAGAGAGTCTATGGGGATTTTCTGTGTGGACTCATAGTGTCCCACAATTTTGGTGCCCAAGGCATCTTGGATTCCGTCCTCCACAGTTACCAAGGGAGGGCCAAATTCCTGATGCCAGTCCTCTGCTTCAGCAAGGTCTCTGAGCCTCCTGCATTGCTGGAAGGCTAGGGAAACCTTCATTCCCCGAAATCAGCGATGCTGACCTACTATCTTCCCTCTGCCCAGCATGGCTCTCTCAACCGATACCACAATAGCCACCCCCTTCGGGAGCGTGCTCGGAAGCTGTCACAAGGAATCCTCATCATCCGGTAAGACTCTGGCCTTCCCTGAGGGTTCCCGCCTTATGTGTTCCCCTTCCTGGCAAGCACTACGGGGCCATACCCCCAAAGCAGAAAACTTTCACACTGGCTGTATCCATCAGCTATAGCCGCATAACAAAACCACAACATTGGTGATTACTAACAAGTCTGGAAGCTTCTACTGGGCTGGGCCTGGCTGTCTCGATGTCATTGGGGTGGCTAGCCAGGGACTGGCTGGTCCAGCAGGACCTTGGCCCTGTTCCATGGTGCTTTTCATCTTGCAGCGAGCTAGCCTGGGTCAGGGTTTCAAATCAGAGTGAACAGAAACAGCTCTTGAGGCCAAGGCCGGGACCTGTGCACTGTCCCAGTAGGACCTGGGACATGGTCATGGTCCAGAGGCACAGGCCACGCTCCTCCTGGACTAAAGAGCTGCAGAGCGATACTGGAAAGGAGGTAGAGGAAGGAGGGGAAAGCACGCAGGCTGGACGAGGCACCATGGCACAGACCTGCGCTCTCAGCTTCACAGGGGAGGCTGAGGTGGGAGGATGGCTGACACCCAGGAACTGGAGGCCAGCGTGGGCTGCATAGCGAGGCGTGACTCCAGACGAGCGCCAATAAAGATGCCTTGCGTTTCCGCAGATTCGAGATGCCGTATAATATCTGGTGTGATGGCTGCAAAAATCACATTGGCATGGGTGAGCCTTCCCCTCCGTGCCCCCCAACTCAGTCCTGCACAGGGCGACCCCCACAAGAGCCAGGCCCTGTGAGGAATTGGGAATCTGGCATGCAGGCCCCGTGGTTCTGATCCCATCTCTGCCACCTCCCAGCCGGGTGTCCTGCTGTGGGTCAGTTTACCGGTCTGTAAAATGGGTGTCAGACAAAAAAGAAGAAGAAAAAAAGGAAAAGGCCAGGTGTGGTGGTACACACCTGTAATCTCAGCACTTGGGAGGCTAAGGTAGAAGGACCATGAGATCAAAATGAGCAGGGGCTCTGTCTCAAAAAGAAATAAAGAAAGGAAGATGAAAAACTGTGAGCATTCTGGAAAGAACTAATGAGAGCCTGGCCTTGTTCCAAATGGATCCCTTGTCCAGGAGGCTTGACAAGGGTCCGAGATGGTCATGTGGTCATTACTGTTGAATAGACCAGAAACCAAGATCCCCAGGGTGAGGTGCCTAGCCTGAGGGGCACCAGCTGGCAGGAAGTGCCAGAGTCGAACCCGGGCCTCTGGCTCCGGCCCTCACCTTGGCTTTAGCACCTGCAGCGCACTGGTGTCACCAACCTCTTCCTGTCCCCCTTTCCCCTCCAGGCGTTCGGTATAACGCAGAGAAGAAGAAGGTTGGAAATTACTACACCACCCCAATCTACAGGTAGGGGTGTCAGGCAGCATCTGGGGGTGGGGCAGTGGGGGGACAGCAGATAAAAGGTGCCCACAAAGACATCCCGTGTGCATCTGGGCATCATCTTTTGATTGGGACCCTCTGTGACTCGCACCTGCTCCAGCCCAGCCCAGGCACTGCCAGCCCCCTCCAGCCCAGCCCAGGCACTGCCAGCCCCCTCCAGCCCAGCCCAGGCACTGCCAGCCCCCTCCAGCCCAGCCCAGGCACTGCCAGCCCCTCCGTGTCTTTACCCCCCCCCCCCAGTTGCTATACAGCTTCCTTCCCATGATGGATTTTGCTAGACATGCTCACTGCTTTGCGCCACGCCTCCTGCACTTTTTGCCTCAGTGGTTTTTCACATAGGGTCCAGGGCCAGCCTGGACCAAGACCTTCCCAATTTCTGCCTCCTCAGAAGCTGGGGTGACAGGTGAACCCTTACAAAGGGGACTTTTTGAAAGCAGAGGCCCCAGACACCGTGTGGTTGTGCTCTTCTCCAGGGCTGGACAGCTCCCTCTACTGCCCACAGTGCCCCTAGCAGGCACAAGCCTGGCAGAGTGGGCCTTGGGTAGGTTTGTTGAACAATAGAGGAGCGAATGGATGGATGGACGAACACAAGGGTGAAGAAGCCAAGTGTGTGTGTGTGTGTGTGTGTGTGTGTGTGTGTGTGTGTCTGTCTGTCTGTCTGTCTGAGAGAGAGATGACAGAGAGAGAGACAATGAGACAGTCCTGGGTCTTGAACTCAGGGCCTGAGCGCGGTCCCTGACCTCTTTTGCTCAAGGATAGTGCTCTACCACTTGAGCCACAGCGCCACTTCTTGCTGTTTGGTAGTTCACTGGAGATCAGATTTTCACACTTTCCTGCCCTGGCTGGCTTCAAATTGTAATCCTCAGTTCTCAGCTTCTTGAGTAGCTGGGATTACAGGCATGTACCACCAGCTTGCGGCTCCAGTGTCACTCTCGAGGAGAAGGTGTGTGTGTGTGTGTCTGTGTCTGTCTGTCTGTCTGTCTGCTTGCTGGGCCTGGGCCCCAGGGCATCGTGTGAGCGCACTGTCCCCCAGGTTCCGGATGAAATGCCACCTGTGTGTCAATTACATCGAGATGCAGACAGACCCCGCCAACTGCGACTACGTGATCGTGAGCGGTGCCCAGCGCAAGGAGGAGCGCTGGGACATGGAGGACAATGCGCAGGTGCTGACCACAGGTGAGCTGCGGCCCCGGCCACTCCGAGGGGGCCCCCAGGCCAGGACCCCCTTCTCACCCAACCACGCTGTTCTGGGCCTCACAGAGCACGAGAAGAAAGAGAAGCTGGAAACGGATGCCATGTTCCGCCTGGAGCACGGCGAGGCGGACCGCAGCACGCTCAAGAAGGCCCTGCCCAGCCTCAGCCTCATCCAGGAGGCCCAGAGCGCCTGGAAGGACGACTTTGCCCTCAATAGCATGCTGCGCCGGAGGTTCCGGGTGAGCTGGGTTCCGGGAGCTGGGCTTGGGAGGAGCAGGGACGCAGGTGGGAGGAGCTAGGAGGGGAGGGGCCTGGGGAAGGGCGGGGACGTGGGTGGGAGGAGCTTGGAGAGGAGGGCCCTGGGGAAGGGCGGGGACGTGGGTGGGAGGAGCTGGGAGGGGAGGGGCCTGGGGAAGGGCGGGGACATGGGGTGGGAGGAGCTTGGAGAGGGGGGGCCTGGGGAGGAGCGGGGACATGGGTGGGAGGAGCTTGGAGAGGAGGGGCCTGGGGAGGAGCGGGGACATGGGTGGGAGGAGCTTGGAGAGGAGGGGCCTGGGGAAGGGCCGGGACATGGGGTGGGAGGAGCTGGGAGGGGAGGGGCCGGGGGAAGGGCGGGGACGTGGGTGGGAGGAGCTGGGAGGGGAGGGGCCTGGGGAAGGGCGGGGACATGGGGTGGGAGGAGCTTGGAGAGGGGGGGCCTGGGGAAGGGCGGGGACATGGGTGGGAGGAGCTTGGAGAGGAGGGGCCTGGGGAGGAGCGGGGACATGGGTGGGAGGAGCTTGGAGAGGAGGGGCCTGGGGAAGGGCCGGGACATGGGGTGGGAGGAGCTTGGAGAGGAGGGGCCTGGGGAAGGGCGGGGACATGGGGTGGGAGGAGCTTGGAGAGGAGGGACCTGGGGAGGGGCGGGGACATGGGGTGGGAGGAGCTGGGGGAGGAGGGGCCAATGGGAGGGGTGGTTCACAGAGTAGGAGGAGCCTGGTGTGGGTGTGGTTGGGGGCGTGGCTCCAATCCAAGATAGGCAGCCTGGCTTGCCCAGTTCCTCTGCAGCTATTCGCAGGGGTGGCACCCCGCCTGTCCAGTGTCTGTGCAGCTACTGTAACAAGTCAGTCACTCAGGCTGGAGAGGACGACCATGATGCGGGGCCTCAGCAGATTCGGTGTCCAAACATGTCCCCTTTCGCCTTCGTACCTTCTAGCTGTTTCTTCACGGTAGAAGGGACGGACAGGTTCCCACCAGCCTCCAGGATAGGGCAGAATGTCACTCATGAGGACACCCCTCCTCTCTCCCTCCCCCGCCCGTGGGGCAGGTGCTAGATAGCTGAACCACGCCCCCAGCCGCGCGTGCGCGTGCGTGTGAGTGTGTGCATGTGTGTGCATGTGCATGTGTGTGCGTGTGTGTGTTACATTAGGGCTTCACCTCCCTTCCTTGCAGTCTCACTTGGCTTTTTCTGCCCAAGGCTGGCACTGTACCACTGAGCCACACCTCTACTTCTAGCTTCTTGCTAAGAATCTCATGCATGTGTCTGCCCAGGCTGGTATCAAATGTCAATCCTCAAATCCCATCCTCCTGAGGAGCTAGGATTACAGGAGTGAGCCACCTGCACCCCGCTCCCCAGCCCCTTTTCAGAGATGGAGATAAGACCTCCCTTACTGCCCCGACAAGCATGCAGACCACCACCCCCTTCCATTTTTATTTCCTATGAGGTTAAATGGAGGATTCAGATTCAACACAGTGGACAGGGAATGTGGCTCAAGTGGTAGAGCGCCTGCCTAGCAAACACAAAGCCCTGCGTTCAAGTCCCAGTACCAACACCACACACACACACACACACACACACACACACACACACAGAGTGAGGCAGAGCGGATGCTCTGAGACCCCTTCTCTGACAGCTGCCCCTTCCCGGCGTCCCCCGACCCTCAGGAAAAGAAGAAAGCCATGCGAGAGGAGGAGGAGAGGGACCAGGCCTTGCAGGCCAAAGCCAGCCTGGCCATCCCGCTAGTGCCTGAGACCGAGGACGACCGCAGGCTGGCGGCGCTGCTCAAGTTCCACACCCTGGACTGTGAGTGAGGGCTGTGAAGGCGGGTGGTCTAGCCTGTGCAGGTGATGGACCAGAGCTTTGCGCATGCTCCGCCCGCAGTCACACAACCCCCAGCCCCTGGGCGGTCCTTCAGCGCCCTGTCCAATCTCCTCTGCAGCCTATGAGGACAAGCAGAAGCAGAAGCGCTCAGAGGTCATCAGCCGCTCCTGGTTCCCTGCGGCCCCCGGACCCGGGGCCACGGGCAGCAAAGCCAGCGGTGTCCTGAAGAAGCTGTCCCAAGCTCGCAGGGCCATCGCACCGGCCAGCTCGCCCTTCACGGTGGGGGACCTGGGCATCGTGCGGCGCCGCTCCTCCCGGGATGGCCTGGAGACCCCGCCACACCCCGAGAGCCCCGCGGCCGGGGAGACGCAGGGAGCCGCACAGGACCCTCCGGCACCCCCGCAGGACAGCCATCAGGACACCCCCAACCCCAGCAGGCCGCAGACGGATGCACAGGACACAGCCCTGCCTGCCCCAGCCCCCGCACCCCACAGACCTCGAGGCCCCCCAGACGCGCCGCACCCCGACGGCCCCAACCCCTCGCTAGTGGCCGACTACTCAGGCTCCGAGAGCGAGTGAGGGCGGCCGGGACCCCGGAGACCCCGACACGGACTGCAGCCCTCCCCAGACCTCGCCTCCTCAAAGATGGAGTTATTTATTTGGTCTTGTTGACCGGCTACCCCACATTAAAGCCCTGTTCGTTGTCCCCCGCCGCGGGTTAGTGCTCGGGTGGGTGGCAGGATGCGTTCGTCCGCTCCGGGTCTGAAGATGGCGGCTGGGCGGGGCTGGGGGTCCAGGCGGGCTTCGGGGGAGGCGGTGGGGCGAGGCAGGGGCGGCCAGGGAGGGGTGGGGGCGGAGGGCAGCCTTCGCAGCTTCTGAAGGAAGTCGAGGGGAGCACCGGGCTGCGCAAGGGGCGGGCAGGAGTGGATGGAGGAAGGACGATCTCCTTTCCCTGCCTTCCGGGATCCTGCGAGCAAACACTCGGCCTTCTTGGCCAGCCAGGCTTGGGCAGGGCACACGACCTAGTACCCAGCAGGTACTCCATAAATGATGTCGCTTTGTGCTTCCCAGAGCGCCCGTGACGGGCCTGGTCCCCGGGTGTGCAGAGGATCTGCGGGCCTGGCTTGAGCAGGTGCCTCGAGCTGCGCCAGCTTCCGGCCCCGGGCCCCGCCCCTCCGCGCCGTCTGCCACGCCCCTGATCCGTGGCTCCGCCCCTGGGCGTGGCCATTTCATCCCTGCGCGCCGAAGTGGCTGCTGCGCATGCGCCACCATCCAAGGTACGGACCCGCCCCTCGCGCAGCCGTTCTCCCCTGGGTGCGCGAGCGGGTGTGTGCGCATGCGCGTGCGCCCTTTCCTAGGGAGGCCCCTCCCTCCGGCCTCGGCCACGCCCCTCCGCGCGTCCAGCCCCGCCCACGCGAGCTGGCGCTGCGGTGCTGCGGCGAGCGGACGCGGCGGCCGCGCCATGGCGCTGGAAGCCATCCGGTACTCCCGAGGGTCGCTGCAGATCCTCGACCAGCTGCTGCTGCCCCAGCAGAGCCGCTACGAGGCCGTGGGCTCGGTGCAGCAGGCCTGGGAGGCGATCCGCGCCATGAAGGTGAGGCCGGGGCCGGGACTGGGGGCCCGGGGCGGGGCCGGGCGCAGCGGCACTGACACCCGGATCCCCACCCCACCCCCGTGCAGGTGCGGGGCGCCCCGGCCATCGCCCTGGTGGGCTGCCTGAGCCTCGCCGTGGAGCTGCAGGCCGGCGCCGGGGGCCCGGGGCCGGCCGCCCTCGTGGCCTTCGTGCGAGACAAGCTGAGCGTGCTCGTGTCCGCGCGGCCCACCGCCGTCAACATGGCCCGCGCCGCCCGCGCCCTGGCCGACGCCGCGGCCCGCGCGGCGGAGGAGGAGGGCGCCACGGAAGCGGCGGTCCGGGAAAGGTCAGGAGGACTTGCGCCGAGGGGACACTGAGGCACGGCGCGAATCCGCAGCCCCTTGCACAACCCTTTCACTGAGGTCACCCTGGGAGCCGCCCAGCCTTCCTCCGCCCGTGGGGACCCCTTTCCACCGTGTTCTCTTGGCCTGGGGCTTGAACTGGGGGCCTGGGCGCCGTCCCTGAGTTTTTTCTTTCTACTCAAGGCTGGCGCTCTACCACTTGAGCCACAGCGCCACTTCTGGCTTTTTGCTGGTTCATTGGAGATAAGAGTCTCCTGGACTTTCTTGCCTGGATTGGCTTTGGATTGTGATCCTCAGATCTCAGCCTCCTGAGCAGCTGGAATGACAGGCGGGAGCCACCGGGGCCGGCTTTCGTGGGTGCTCTTGAGGAATGTTTGTGTCTTTTCCTGAGTTCTTCCATTCCCCTCCATGTTACCTGCCTTCAGCTGCCTCAGGGCCTTTGCACGTGCTGTTGCAGTACCCAAGTCTCCTGCTCTTTGCTGTCTGACTTTGCCACTTTTTTTTCCTTTTATTATCTGTTCCTCTGCCCACCAGCCCGCACACCTTTCAGCAATTTAGTATTGGGCCCAGGCTGAACCAAATTGGGCAGAAAGGAAAGCCAAGGTGGACTCTGAAGCCCCTGACTGATACTGAAGGCCCCTTGTCTGCCACAGAGTGATCTGCCACGCCGAGGACATGCTGGACCAAGACCTTAGAGACAACCAGCACATCGGGGACCTCGGAGCCCGCCACCTGCTGGAGCGGGCAGCCCCTGGGGGGGGCAAAGTGACGGTGCTGACACACTGTAACACTGGCGCACTGGCCACCGCTGGCTACGGCACAGCCCTGGGTGAGTCCCTGTCCTTCACCACCTGGAGTCATCCCTGGTACTGGAGGCTGGGAGTCGGGGGAAAGCCTGGCCTAAAGCATGAGACCCTGTTTCAGAAAGGAGGAGGAATGAAGAGGGAGGGAGAGAGTGTTGAGAAGAAACACATAAAAATAACAACAAACATACACTGTGTAGACAGACAGACAGACAGACAGCTAGCTAGATCTTTCTACAGAAACTAAGGGGGTTGGCTTCAGGTATGGCTGTATCCAGGAGCCCAATAAATGGACATCAGAACCCCTCTGTCCCATCCTTCAGTTCTGCCCTCCATTCACAGGTTGGGGGACCCCTGGAGTTCAGGTGATAAGGAAAGTAGCTGAGGGTGCCCAGAAGTCAGATGATGACACCTTGCCTGTCTCACATGATCATTTTGATGGGCCTGGCTTGAGCGAAAGTCCTAAAGAGTAGGCAGATGGTGGGCTCCTTGGGAAGAGTGACTTCCCAAAATTAACATCAAGGTAGCTGAGCCCAGGAGAGGGGGCGTGGCCGGGATGGGGCAGGCATGACTAAGTTCAGATCAGGTAGAGGCCAGGAGAGGGGCGTGGCCCCGCGGAGGATTGACAGGTCTGGGGCTGAGGATGGGAGGCAGGCTTGTGCCTGGGGGGAGCCTGGGAGCTGCAGCCCTCACCTTGTGCACCCTGTCCCTGCCCCCCATCCTCCTGCTCCTCCTGGCAGGCGTGATTCGCTCCCTGCACAAGCTGAACCGCCTGGAGCACGCCTTCTGCACCGAGACGCGGCCCTACAACCAGGGCGCCCGGCTGACGGCCTTCGAGCTGGTATTCGAGCAGATCCCCGCCACCCTCATCGCCGACAGCATGGCGGCGGCCGCCATGGCCCACAAGGGCGTGTCAGGTGAGCAGGCCGGGCCCGGGCTGGGCTGCAGGCCCCCGGGGACCTGTGTGTGACACCCCAACTTCTCCCCACGCACAGCCGTCATCGTGGGCGCCGACCGCGTGGTCGCCAATGGCGACACAGCCAATAAAGTGGGCACCTACCAGCTGGCCATCGTGGCCAAACACCATGGCGTCCCCTTCTACGTGGCGGCCCCCAGCTCCTCGTGCGACCTCGGGCTGCAGACTGGCAGGGACATTGTGATCGAGGAGCGCCCAGGCCACGAGTTGACCGAGATCAATGGGGTCAGGATAGCCGCTCCCGGTAAGCTGTTGGACACGAGAGGGGTCACAGGAGCCAGGAGTGGGGTACGGGGCATCCACAACCATGGCCCAGGATCAATCACGGTCTGAACTTACAGCTACCCAATTACACAAGGAGCAAGGATAGCCGGGCATGGGAGGGCAGCACTATAATCCCAGCGACTCCCGGGAGGCAGCAGTAGGAGGATCAGCCCTCTCCTTAGAGGCCAGCCCTGGCAACATTAGCCAGACCCACGGACAAGCTTAAAACCAACGCTTGCCTTGCATGCATGAGGCCTGGGGTTCCATTCCTCAGCACCACATAAGCAGACAAAGCCAGAAGTGGCGCTGTGGCTCAAGTGGTAGAGCGCTAGCCTGGAGCTGAAGAGCTGAGGGACAGCGCGCAGGCCCAGAGTTCAAGCCACGACCAACAAAAAAATAAAATAAAAACAAAGGACTAAAACTATAACAAAAAAAAAAAAAAAGCTAGAGCTAGAACAGCACGTCACCTGCTTTTACATACATTTTTATTTTTTTCTGAGCTCGTGCAAAGACCCTGAGGTCAATGCAGAGATCTTTAGGCAATAGTTAGGTATGTTGAAGAGATCAGGGCTGGCAGGGGCGTGTAACTTTTATCTCTGGGTTTACTGTTCATGCCTTGCAATTTGGGGATGAGGACTCCCAGGATTCTTCAAGGGTTCTCCAGGCTGTAAGAACTTTTGTGGTGGAGACCAGTGACCAGGCTGGGAATTTTCAGACTCGGTTCTCAGCCCCTTATCTCCTCTCACCTACAGGAATTGGGGTTTGGAACCCGGCCTTTGACGTCACACCCCATGAGCTCATCACTGGAGGGATCATCACAGAACGGGGAGTCTTTACCCCGGAGGAGCTCCGGGCAGCCCTTAGTGCCACCGTCCCCTCTGGGGGAGGACCCTAGGGGACCCAGCTCCCCCAGCCCTGCCCCATTCCTCAGGTTTTATAATAAATGTCTTGAACAGATTCATCCCAAGCCGATCTTCCTCCCTGCCCACAAATCCTTCTAGAGTTCACGCCTGTTATCCTCACTATTCAGGAGGCTGAGATATGGAGGGAGGATCGTTGGTACGAAGCCAGCCTGAGCAGAAAAGTCCGTGAGACTCTTACTTCCAGATTAAACACCAAATAGCCCACAGTGGAGCTGTAGCTCAAGTTCAAGGACAACGCCCAAGCCCTGAGTTCAAGCCCCCAGGATGAGCACACACACACAGAGTGTAGACTTTTAAATTTAATATTTAAAGAAACAGGGCTAGGGACACATAGCTTCAAGCCTACCATGGGTTAGCCCTGAGTTCATCCATGCAGCACCAATGATGATAATAATAATACTCAAATCACCATTGCTGAGGTTTTGGTAACCCCGTTAAGGTCTCTACTAACGATGTGAACTCCCTCATCGTCGGCCTGAAGCCGCCGGTGCGCTTTAGGAACATGAAGTTTTATGAAGCATTGACTCCCTGTTAACTGTCACCGCGCTGACACATTTTCCCTCCGCGAGCCCAGCGCTGTCCCTTTAACTGCGTCCCGTGAGCCCCCGCGCTCGCCGGCTCGCCCCGCTGCTACCCGTGAGGCCTCGCGCCCGCCCTGCTGTATCCCATGGTACCCGGCGGTTTCCGCCTGCCCTTTACCCCGCCCCTTCCGGAAGCGCGTAGGCCCTCCCCTTCCGGCGCGGTCCGGGCCATGGCGCAGGGGCAGCGCAAGTTCAGGCGCCGAAGCCCGGGAAAAGCAGGAAGGCGGCGGCCGGGGCGGCGGCGGCCGGGCGCAGCCGCGGCCCCGAAGAAAGGCGGTGAGGAGGGGGGGCGCGGGGGGCGCGGGGGGGAGCGCGGGGGGGGAGCGGGGGGCGCGGGGGGGGGGGGAGCGGGGGGCGCGGGGGGCGCGGGGGGCGCGGGGGCAGCGCGGGGGGGAGCGGGGGGGCGCGGGGGGGGAGCGGGGGGGGAGCGGGGGGGCGCGGGGGGGGGGAGCGGGGGGGCGCGGGGGGGGGGAGCGGGGGGAGCGGGGGGCGCGGGGGGGGGGGAGCGGGGGGGCGCGGGGGGGGCGCGGGGGGGGCGCGGGGGCAGCGCGGGGGGGAGCGGGGGGGCGCGGGGGGGAGCGGGGGGGGAGCGGGGGGCGCGGGGGGAGCGGGGGGCGCGGGGGGAGCGGGGGGCGCGGGGGGGGAGCGGGGGGAGCGGGGGGGGCGCGGGGGGGAGCGGGGGGCGCGGGGGGGAGCGGGGGGAGCGGGGGGGGGCGCGGGGGAGCGGGGGGCGCGGGGGAGCGGGGGGCGCGGGGGGGGAGCGGGGGGGAGCGGGGGGGGCGGGGGGCGCGGGGGAGCGGGGGGAGCGGGCCGGGCGCGGGGGGGAGCCCGGGGGGAGCGGGGGGCGCGGGGGGGAGCGGGGGGGGGGGGAGCGGGCCGGGCGCGGGGGGGAGCGGGGGGCGCGGGGGGAGCGGGGGGGCGCGGGGGGGAGCGGGGGGGCGCGGGGGAGCGGGGGGGCGCGGGGGGGAGCGCGGGGGGGAGGCGGGGGGGCGCGGGGGGAGCGGGGGGGCGCGGGGCGCGGGGGGGCGCGGGGGAGCGGGGGGCGCGGGGGGGAGCGGGGGGCGGGGGGCGCGGGGGGGAGCGGGGGGCGCGGGGGGAGCCGGGGGGCGCGGGGGGAGCGGGGGGGGAGCGGGGGGGGAGCGGGGGGGGGGGGGGAGCGGGCCGGGCGCGGGGGGGGGAGCGGGCCGGGCGCGGGGGGGGAGCGGAGGGCGCGGGGGGGGGTGGAGCGGGCCGGGCGCGGGGGGGGGGGGGGCGGGCCGGGCGCGGGGGGGAGCGGGGGGGGGGGGGGGAGCGGGCCGGGCGCGGGGGAGAACGGGGGGGGGAGCGGGGGGGCGGCGCGGGCGGGCCTGGCGAGGGGGGACGCGGCCCCAGCCTCACGCGGGCTTGTCTCTCCGCAGCTCGGGTTATCGCCCCCAAGAAGGCGCGCATCGTGCAGCAGCGGAAGCTGAAGAAGGTGAGAGGGGGGAGGGGGGCGCCCGGGCCTCAGTTTCCCCCCGTGTCGCGAGCGCCCGCGGGTGTTGACCTGGAGCCGGGCGCCGGTGCCCACGCCCGGAACCCCGGCGAATCAGGAGGCGGAGATCTGAGAGGCTCTGGGTTCGAAACCAGCCCGGGGCAAGAAAGGCCGCAAGACGCTGAGTCTGTCATTTAGCAGCAGAAAGCCAGAGGTGGAGCTGTGGCTCCAGCGGTAGAGCGCAGCAGCCTTGAGCGAACAAGCATAGGGATAGCGCTCAGGCCCTGAGTTCGAGGCCCAGGACACCCCCCCCCCCCACACACACACACACACATGTCGATGTAACCCCCTCGCCCCTCAGGACCTGGAGGTGGGGATCCGGAAGAAGATCGAGCACGACGTGGTGATGAAGGCCAGCTCCAGCCTGCCCAAGAAGCTGGCACTGCTGCGGGAGCCTGGCAAGAAAAAGGGGGCCACCTCCAGCCCCGCGCCGTCCTGAAGGCCACCCCCCCCCACTGCTTTCTTCCCATTGGGCGACCTCCAGGGACCGCCCCCCCTCGCCCCGCGTGGGAGCTGACCACCAGGTGTACAATTTGGCAGCAAGGACTTCTATGCCACTGGCGTCCCCTGTGTCTGCCCTATCTTAACCCAGCAATAAACCCGTCCTGTCCCTCCTGCCGTCTCTGCCCTCCTGTCAGACCTGGGTGTGTGCGCTCCAGGCCGCCGCCAGCCCAGGGCTGCAGACTTCAGCGCCTCCATCTCCTGCACGCGCTCCACGGTCGGTGGCGTCGATCTTCCTGCCTCTCCTAAGGTCTTGGTGCTGCTTCCATAAGGGTTACTGTGAGCCAGGCCGTCCTAGAACCTTCCACGTGTCACCCGCACCCAGGGACGCAGAGCCAGCATGGAAGCCCAGCTGGCAGCTTCCTGTGCCCCTCAGTGGTGTCCATGCTCAGCGGCTCCCCCGTCCGTGCCTGGACGTGCCAGGCCTCGCCCGGCTCCGCATGGCTGCTGCCGCCCCGCGCTGTGTGCGGTGCTGTGACTTGTCTTCCTCAGCCAGCACCGGAGCAGGTAACACTGACACAGCCTTGTTTTGATGTTTTGTGGTACTTGGGTTGTGATTTGAACTCGGGGCCTTGGGTGGCGACTTTTACCACTTGAGCCACTTCCACCCCAAGTGCTTGCTTTGGTGTGTTCTGATTCTGTGGTGCTGGGATGGACCCTGGCACCTGCGGGCACGCGCCTGCCTGCCACGGTTTTAATGTGTCTGGGACAAGGTCTCCCTAACTTGGCCAAAAACCCATAGTCCTGCTGCCTCTGCCTCCCAAGCAGCTGGGATTACAGGTATGCACCACCACGCTTCACCCGAGCATGTGGACTTGGTCTCCTAGGGTAATAATGATAGCAATAATAATAATGGTGGGAAAATATTCTTTCTTGGATGCCAGGTGTTCTATGTATTCATTTATTTTTGGTAGTGCTGGAGGATTTGGTTTGGGCTGCTGATATTACAAAGCCACGCCTCTAGTCCTGTTTGTTCTTTTTTTGGGGGGGGATCCGGTTGTGGGGCCTGAACTCTGGGCCTGGGCGCTGTCCCTCAGCTCTTCAGCTCAAGGCGAGCGCTCTGCCACTTGAGTCACAGCGCCACTTCCGGCTTTTTTCTTTTTGCTTATGTGGTGCTGAGGAATCGAGCCCAGGGCCTCATGCATGCAAGGCAAGCGCTCTACCACTGAGCCACCTTCCCAGCCCTCTTCTATTTATTTTTAGGATAAGTGGGCCCTTCCTGCCCTGGGCCACCAACTGCAGGCTTCCCTTCTCCCCATCCCCCTTCAAAAATATGCCACTTCTCCCAACTTGTTATTGTGTAGGTGGAGTCTTGGAGAGTTTTAACCAGGCTGGGCATTAAACTGCAATCCTCCTTTTCTCAGCCTCCCAAGGAGCTAGGATTATAGACCTGTGCCACTAGTCTCAGGAGGCTGAGGCAGGAAGATCAGGACTTAGAGGTCTACCTGGGCTCTACGGCAAAACATTCCCTTAAAACAGCTGTTCAGGAAGGTGGCTCAGTGGTAGAGCGCTTGCCTTGCATGCATGAGGCCCTGGGTTGGATTCCTCAGCACCATATAAGCAGAAAAGGCCGGAAGTGGCGCTGTGGCTCAAGTGGTAGAGCTCTGGCCTTGAGTTGAAGAGCTGAGGGACAGCGCCCAGGCCCAGAGTTCAGGCCCCACGACCGACAAGAACAAAAAAACAGCTGTTCTGATGTGTGCAGAGTCGTCATCTAGCGCCTACACCTCAGCCCCACGGGAAGGGGGCTACTGGGTCTTGAGCCAGAAACCTCTTACTCACCAGCCCACAGAACTTTCCTCATGCATCACAGTGGTGCCCCAGCCACTAACTACCAGTTTTCTGGTAGTTAATTGGAGATGAGTCTCAAGGAAGCCAGGTGCTGGTGGCTCACGTCTGTCATCCCAGCTGATACTCAGGAGGCTGAGAGCTGAGGATCAGGGTTCAAAGCCAGCCTGGGCAGGAACGTCCGTGAGACTCTCTCCAGTGAACCACCAAAAAGTGAAAGTGGCCTGGAGAGATACAACCAAAAAATACTGTCAAGGACTTGCCTGCCCCAGCTGGGCTTTGAGCCGGGATTCTCAGATCTCAGTCTCCGGAGTAGCTGGGATTGCGGTGTGTCTCTTGATGGCAGTTTGTCCCAGACAGTGCCTGTCCACATCCCTCCTCCACCCCCGGCCTTCGGTGCTCCTCCCCGCCAGCTGGGTTGGAGAACCGAGGTCCAGGCAAAGGCTCCCCACGGAGCTGCCCCAGCCCAGCCAACATCTCACCGCCATCCTCTGAAGCTTGGGATCCTGCTCTGCCAGGGCCGGGCCTCGGTTTTGTGCACCCCAGGGCCTTTGTCCATTCTAGGCTAGCGCTCTACCTGTTGAGCCACAGCTCCACTTCTGGCCATTTGGTGGTTCATTGGGGATTACCGTCTCAGACTTTCCTGCCAGAGCTGGCAGCCTCCTAAATAGCTGGCATGAGCCACTGGCACCTGCTGGCGGCCGTCGCCTGGCTCTGCCACAAGGGGGCGCCCTGCCCGGGAGCGCGGCACCCAGGCTAGCCTAGGAACTTCGTTTTGTTTTTCTTTATTTTTGCCATTCCTGGGGCTTGAACTCAGGGCCTGGGCACTGTCACTGAGCCACAGCAGTTTCTGTTTATGTGGTACTGAGGGATCGAACCCAGGAACTAGGCACACACACTACCACTAAGCCACATTTCCAGCTGTGTGTGTGTGTCCCAGGACTTGAATGCAAAGCTTGAGCTTTTACACTCAAGGCTAGCACTCTACCACTTGAGCCACAGCTCCATTTCAGGCCTTTTTGGTGGTTCATTGGAGATCAGCACCTCACAGACTTTCCTGCCCTGCCTGGTTTTGAACCTCAGTCTCTTGAGGATCTAGGATTACAGGCATGAGTCACCAGCCCCCCAGCGGAACTCCTCTGATGGTGGAATGTCAAGCCACCTGCTCTTCTTAGGCTCCCTGCTTCTGGGGAACCCCACCCCACCTTCCACATCAGGTTCTGCCCACCCCACCCTTGGCAGTATGACCTTGGTGCCCACGTCACTTGCCATCTCTGAGCCCCAGTACCTCCCTCCCACCCCTCAGAGTGGGGAGCTGGGGGGGGTCATTTGTGCTGCTCCCTTGGCAGCTTCTGTCTGGACATCCCCTTTCCACCACCCCATCTTGGCTCTCCAGACTCCATTGTTCTCGCTGCCCTCCTCTCCCCCGCCTGCAGGGCAGTGGGTGACACTTTGCCTATGAATAGGAGTTTCCAAAAGGAAGACGCTGGGCCAGCAAGGGACTGGAAGCCAGCCACGCCGCCCAGGCTGGCTTCTGGCCAGCCCGCGGGGTGCCAGGCACCCCCTGACCCCCCCAGCCCCCCACCCCCATCTGCACTGCATGGAGATGAAGCCTGTGTCCTCTCCCTACCTGAGCCTCCAGGGAAGCCCTATTTCTTCCAGAAGGCAGGGAGGATGGGGGGGACACACGGGTTTGGGGTCAGGAGTTTTGCATGCCCAGACAGTGAGCTCACCCCTACCCCTGCCAGCAGGAGGAAGAAATGTGGCCGCCGCAGTTTCCCAAGCCAGGGCTCGCTGGCGTCCCCAGAGGGGGTGAGCTGCCTGGCTGGAGCCCACGCCACCGCCTCCCTCTCCTAACAGTATTTTTAGCAAGGGACAGGCTTGAGAGGAGCCAGGCCACTTCACCTCCCGGTGGCCCCCCTGGCCCTTCTGACCCGCAGTGCATGCACCCCCCCCATCCCAGGGCTGTGTGGCCTAGGTCAGCCTGCTCACCCTCTCTGAACCTCTCTTTCCTCACTTGTAAGGTGCGGCTAGGAGCACCAGGTTGCCCTTCCCAGCTGCGAAAGGGGGTGCTGTCCGTGTTCAGACCTCATCACATACGAATGTGTCCAGCCCTGAGAGGCCCCATTTTCTGTTCCCTCAGCCCCCACCCCCTGCACTGGTTCAGGACCCAGCTTAAGGCTGGGATCCCACCTTGACAGGAGCTCAGAGGTACGACAGAGAGGGGTCCTGTTTGTATTGAAGCGCCCTAGATCCCTCCTGCGCCCCAGTGACTCCTGCCCCATAATTTCGTCCAAGTCATCCCCAATACCTCTGTAAGAGAAGGCCCAGGCTGGGGGCGTGGCGGAGCAGGGGAGGGGCTCTGATAGGGTATTTTGGTGGGCGTGTTTTCCTCTGTGGGCGTGGCTTGGCAGGCACTTGTGCGGTTGCTTGGGGGCGTGGCTCTGTGGTGCACTAGCTACGTCATGGCTTCAAAGTTGTCGGAGGGGCGTGGCTCCGCGGGCAGGTCCCCTGTGCCAGGCCCAGGGTTCCAATGGCCTCCCTCCGACCCTCCCCTGACTTCCGCCAGGCTGGCTCTTCCTGCCAGGTGACCTCAAGGCCAGCAGCTTCCTCTCCGAGCTTCAGTTTCCTCTCATTTGCAGCAATATGGGGAGGTTAACACTGGCTCTTGTGTCAGAGCAGGGCCTACCTGCTACACATGCATCACCATTATTAATAAGTATTATTATTATTATTGCTATTATTGCTGTGGAGCACTCGGCTTTTTTTTTTTTTTCTTGTTGTCGGTCGCGGGCCTTGAACTCTGGGCCTGGGCGCTGTCCTTCAGCTCTTCAGCTCAAGGCGAGCGCTCTACCACTTGAGCCACGGCGCCACTTCTGGTTTTCTGGTGGTTATTTGGAGATAAGAGTCTCAGGGACTTCCCTGCCCCTGTTGGCTCTAAACTGTGATCCTCAGATCTCAGCCTCCTGAGTAGCTAGGATGACAGGCGTGAGCCACCCAGCTTGGGACCCGTTTTAATACCACATTTTATTTAAGCTACATCTTTTCTAAAATGTCATTTCAGCACATAATCAGTGTTAAGTTTGTGTGTGTGTGTGGTGTTGGGGACGGAACCCAGGGCCCTGGGTGTAAACTAGGCCAGCAGCCTACCTGTGAGCTGTTCCAATCTCTACAAATCCTTAGGGAACTATGTCACCATGGCTTTCCCTGGGACATCTCGGGGCTGCAGTGTGTGTTTACTGTGGAAGCGCAGGTGTGCCAGCCTGGAAGGCCACTTGGTGACACCCAGGACTTGCAGGTGGGGAAGGAAGGGCTGGGGCGGCCTGACAGAGGCCTGGACTGGGGGTGCGGGGTGGGGGACAATCTGGCTTCTTAGGGTCCAGCATGCCTGCCCCTCCCCCTCTGCAGAGCATCTGAAGAAGACAAAAGGGCAGCACAGAAGCGGCCCCCTTCCGGAGGTCATGGCTTGAGCACCTACTGCATGCGAGGCGCTGTTCCAGGTCCTGAAGGACTCTGCCCAGCTCGGGCCTTGAGCGCTCGCAGTCCGAGGAAAACTTACACAGCCCCCCACGGGGATACCCCACGAACAAGGAGGTGAGCAGGGCGGGGGAGGGAGGCCAGCTCGCAGCCACAGGCGGTCAGAGGGCCGCGCGCATTCAAACAGTAGGAAATCTGTGGAGCCTAGGCAGGATGTGGGGCAAGTCCCGGATGGAGGCTCAAGGGGTGCTTCGTGGAACCCCCAAACCGAGCTCCGTTTCTGCACCCTCCCCTAGCTCCTCCAGGAAGGCTGGGGCCGCCGCCCCCTCTCCCAGCCTCTGTCTGCGCTTGACCCTGAACCCCGAGAGGCTGAGCGGGTTCCTCCGGGCCACACAGCCCCGCGGGCGGGAGACCCGCCGTCCTGTGTCCCTGGCGGCTGGGCCTTGATGACCGGCCCCGCCTGGCACCCGGAAGCGACCCTCGGTAAACAAAGCCGTGTGTGGGCGCAGCCCCAGCTGCCCGGGGCTCGCCGTCCAGCCGGAGGGGGCGGGGGAAGAATGTTGTGAATGAACGCAGGGCCCGCCCCGAAACTCTGCAGAAGGCCCGCCCCCGCTGGGGTTCTCTCGTTCCGATTGGCTCCTGACGCCTTGTGATTGACAGTCCCACTCGCTGCACCTTATGATTGGGTGAGCCGGAAAGGACTAACATCTCAGCGATCCAATGGGCAACGGCGGTCCGTAGACAGGTCTGCAGGCGCAGCCAATGCGGAGAGAGAGCCGCGGAGGCCGAGGGGAGTTCCAATGGGGACAGGCGCAGGGGGCGGGACCACCGCGGAGGATAAAGCGGCGGCCAGGCGGCTTTATTGTTGTGAACCGTCTTAAAGGGGCCGCGTCACCCGGCCGGCCCGGCTTGGGGCTGGGTTGGTGGGGGGACGGTGCGACGGGGGCCCCGAGACGGCGGTGCGCGGAGAAAGGACGCGAAGACAAACAAGGCGGACCGGAGCCGGCAAAGCAGAGCCGACCCCGGACCGACCCCGCAGCAGACCCCGCCGCGGCCCCGGCCCCGGCCCGGCCGGATGGAGCCCCCCGCGGCCAAGCGGAGCCGGGGCTGCCCCGGGGGACCCGAGGAGCGCGAGGCCGGGGCCGGGGCTGCGCGGGGCCGGGGCCGGCCCGAAGCGCTGCTGGACCTCAGCGCCAAGCGAGTGGCGGAGAGCTGGGCCTTCGAGCAGGTGACGGGGGGGCCCCGAGCGCGACCCGGGCCCGAGACCCCCCTCACCCCTCCCGGCGCCCTTCAACCCCGTGACCCACCGCGCCCCGCCCCAGCACCCCAGATCCCACGTGGGACATTTCCGCCCCCTCCCCCCCAACCCCAGGGCCGACCCCCGGGGTTCTCCTACCGACAGGGGCCTCTGAGCCCTACACGCCGCCCCTACTTGGGGACACTATCTCCCCCAGGCTTTCCTGGAGGACACCCCATGTCCCTAGGCCTCTGACCCCCACGCTCCCTTCCCCTGCCCCCCCAGATCCGGACCGGATTCCCCTGATTAGAAGACACCACCCCCACTGCCGCATCCCAGCTCAGGACACCTCTTCCGACCCCCCCCTCCACTGGGCCCCTGCACCTCCAGACCTAGCCCCCCTAGTTAGAGATAGGGATTACCGGGGTTCAGATTCTGCCCCCCCCCCCCCCCCCCGCGCATCCAGGCCTTCCCGAGGGCAGGCGGGAACCTGGCAGGTGCACCGGGAAGCGGCGCCATTGCTTGGGGAGCTCCGAGCGCCCTGGACGGCGCCCCCCACCGCCTCACGGGGGCTCCCCAGGGCCTGAGGGTGCTAGCAGCCCCCCCCACCTCTGTCCTCTTGGACTTTTCAGGGTGTTTGTTGCCAGCCTTTCTCAACTTAGGACTGGTGGGTTTGGTCGAGTTGCGATGGAGCTGGTTCTGATTCATGGACGGGAAAAATCCCTCCTTAGTCACCAGCCAACTGTCACTCACCCGGCCGCCGGCTCCCCGCTTCCCGGGAGCCTGGGTGGGAGGGGAGCTGAGGAGGGCCGCTGCCCCTGCTTAGAGTGCATAGTGAAGATCTCCTAAAACCACCCTCGAAGTTCTTGGGCCTGGCCCTGGCTGCTGCGAGAGAAGCCCCTGGAATCTTCTGTAACCCTTTGAGACTTGTCCTCACTCGGGAGAAACTGGGGCACAGAGAGGTTGAGAAACTTGCCTAAGGCCACCCAGCCAGTGAACAGCAAACCAGGATTGGAACCGGGGCTCGACCAGCTGGTTTCATTGCCTGGAGCCCACAGGGGTGGCCAGGACGCCCCTCCCTTTTGGGGGCCCTGCCTAAGGAATGGCACCACCCAGGCCGTGGATTCTGAACACATGAATTCACCCCACCTCTGAGCCTTAGACCCCAGCTGTTCTTAATGGAGCTCCTTGAGAATTAGGGGGAATCACATAGATAAAGATCTCAGCCCACACCATGGCTCAAGCCTGTAACCCTAAAACTCAGGAAGCTGAGCTCTAAGGATCAAAGCCAGCCAAAGTAGGAAGGTCCTTGAGACTCTTATTTCCATTTAACCAGCAAAAAGCCAGAAGTAGAGCTGTGGCTTGAGTGGTAGAGCACTAGCTTTGAACAAAAAAAGCTAAGGGACAGCACCAGGGCCCTGAGGTCAAGCCATAGTATGGCATGCATGCATGCCTGAACTAGGCTTCAGAGGTCAAGTGACTCGTGCAAGGCCACCCAGCTTGGAAATCCCAACACCAGGAATATTAGTCCAGATTTCTAACCCTCTGCCTCTCCTGCAGGTGGAAGAGCGGTTCTCTCGGGTACCTGAGCCTGTCCAGAAACGCATCGTGTTCTGGTCTTTTCCACGAAGTGAGCGGGAGATATGTATGTACTCATCCCTGGGGTACCAGCCCCCGGAGGGCGAGCAGGACGCCCGGGTGCCCTTCACACGCGGGCTCCATCTGCTACAGAGCGGGGCTGTAGACCGGGTGCTGCAAGTGGGTGAGTGTTGGCCCTGCCCCTGCCCAGGAGCTTTGGAGTGGGCGGGGCAGGCCTGGCGCAGAGGCCCAGGTACCACAATGGCACTAAAGCAAAGCCAGCCCTGCGCTCCAGCTGGGAGCCCAGATGGAGAAAACAGGTGGGAAGGGGAGAGGATCCGCCAGAAAGCTGGGGAGCAGAGGTGCTGGCCCTGAGCAACGTTCTCAAGACTCTTTGTCTCAGAAATAAAGTAAGCAGGGCACCAGTGGCTCTCGCCTGTCATCCTAGCTACTCAGGAGGCTGAGATCTGAGGATCGTGGTTCAAAACCAGCCCCGGCAGGAAAGTCCATGAGACTCTTATCACCAATAAACCACCAGAAAACCAGAAGTGGCGCTGTGGCTCAAGTGGTAGAGTGCTTGCCTTGATCTGAAGAGCTGAGGGACGGCACCCAGGCCCAGAGTTCAAGCCCCAGGACCTACAACAACAAAAAGGAAAGTAAAACTCAGAAGAGGTGGGGACATGGCTCCAGGGTAGAGCATCAGCCTTTGTCCCAAAGCTCAAGGCCCCTGGATTGAAACTGACTTCAGGTGTGGGTTCGTGTGAAAGCCGGGCACTCGGGTGAGAGGCTCTCGGCCCTGGTGATCAAAGGCTCACATACAGGAGATGACTGCTGTCCCCAAACATTTATTATGTTATTTTTATAAAGAACTAAAAGGCAGAAGCAGGAGGCCTTCAAACAGGAAGAAATGATAAAACATTTATAAAGCAGGAAAAGCCAATTACCAGGATCTGGGAGCCACACAGGTGGACAGGGGTGGAATTAACCCCACTGGAGCCCAGAAATACGCACAATGAGGATGTCCATTGAAACATAAAATGAAGACGTGAAACACTGGAACCGGCTGCTCAGGGCGCTGGGATGTGAGGATGACGGTTCAAAGCCAGTTCGAGCAGGAACATCTGAGACACTTACCTCCCACGAACCACCAAAGTGCCAGAAGTGGTGCTGTGGCTCAAGCAGTAGAGGGCTAGCCTTGAGTGGAAAAGCTCAGGGACAGTCCTCAGGCCCTGAGTTCAAGCCTCCGTGCCAGCTGGCCCTGTCAGCCCTATGTCTGGACACAGTCCAGCCAGCGCAGGCCCCTGACCACCTCTGGTATGAGGAAGCCCCAGGCACCGCATGACACAAGTTGTGCCCTGGCTGCCCAACCTGTTAGATGAGCCCCACGTGACATCCAGGCTGCCCAGAAGCCAGGGAGGGGGGAGAGGGGTGATCTGGCCTGGGCCTGCCCCAGTACCCCACACCCTCAAGTGATAGAGCCCTGGGAATCTTCCTGGGAAGTCCTAGGCTTCTAAAGCCAGCCCTAGCTGTATCCATGGTAACCAGAGGGGGCTTTAGCGCCTGGCTCTGTGAAGCACTCCTCATTAGAATAAGGCAGAAGGGGCGTGGCTTACATGCTAGAGCACCAGCTATGAATGGAGACTACAAGGCCTTGAGTTCAAGTCCCAGTACAGGCACACATAAACAGGACAAGAATAAGAATATGTCTAGGACTTGAAACTTCATGCAGTGCTCTGAACACCTGTCACGCATTCACTTGTTTATTACAACCACGTTGGCTTTTTGTGTTAGGTTGCTTTTCTTTGGGTATGTGTGCTGGGAGTGGGGCTTGAACTCAGGGCCTGAGGGTTTTGTTCGTTTGTTTGTCTTTGCCATCGCTTCTGGCTTTTGGGTGGTTAACTGGAAGATAAAAATTCTTGTGGACTTTCCTGCCTAGACTGGTTTTGAACTTTGATCCTCAGATCTCAGCCTCCTCTGTCTCCAGGATTACAGGCGTGAGCCACCAGCGCCAGGCCATGATGATTGGGGGGTTGGGGGGGAGGGGAATGAGGCGCGGCCAGAGCAAGCGTGGAACGCTAGGTTTCTCAGCTTGGCTGTGTACATTGCTTGCACCCCGCTGATGGGATTCTGGGGTGTCATGGCCTGGCTTGCCTTTGTTCTCAGGGTTCCACCTGAGCGGGAACATCCGGGAAGAGGGGAGCCCCGGGGAGCCGGAGCGCCTGTACCCGGTCTCCATCAGCTTCGACCGCTGCAAGATCACGTCGGTGAGCTGCGGCTGCCACAACCGGGGCCTCTTCTACTGCGCGCACGTGGTGGCCCTGTCGCTGTACCGCATCCGCCACGCGCGCCGCGTGGAGCTGCGCCTGCCCATCTCCGAGACGCTGTCCCAGATGAACCGCGACCAGCTGCAGAAGTTCGTGCAGTACCTCATCAGCGCCCACCACACGGAGGTGCTGCCCACAGCCCAGCGCCTGGCCGATGAGATTCTACTGCTGGGCTCCGAGATCAACCTGGTACACGGTGAGGCCCGGGTGTGGGGGAGGGACAGACAGCCAGGGCCACTGTGTGCCTCTGTCACGCTGTCCTGGGTCCCCTGGGGCCTGGCATGGCTGTACCTGCCTGTAATCCCAGCACTAGGGAGGCTGAGGCAGGAAGGCTCCCGTTCAGGGCTCAAAGAAAGACACTGCCTCAAAAACAAGAAAGAAGCTGGTAGCCTGGAGCTGGTGGCTCACGCCTGTCATCCTAGTGACTAAGGAGGCTGAGATCTGAGCATCATGGCTCAAAGCCAGCCCAGGCAGGAAGGTCTGTGAGGCTCTCTTGGCTGTGGGGCTTGAACTCAGGGTGTGGGCGCTGCCTCTGAGCCTCTTTGTGCTCAAGGCTAGCGCTGCACCGCCTGAGCCACAGCGCCACCTCTGTCTGTGAGGCTCTTCTTTCTAATAAACCAACAGAAAACCGGAAGTGGCACTGTGGCTCAAGTGGTAGAGCAGTAGCCTTGAGCACAAAGAGGCTCAGAGGCAGTGCTCAGGCCCCAAGTTCAAGCCCCACGACCAACCAAAAAAAAAAAAAGAAAGGAAAACCTGGTGAGGGGCAGGGGTGAGGGGAGAAGAGGTGAGTCACACACCACTGCCCCCTGTGAGTCCGAGGAGCAGGCTGGGAGGGGTGGGGAGAGGTGTTGTCAGGTGAGCGATGAGTGGAACCAATATGGCAGGAGGTCGGAAGGACTGGGAGAATCCTGTGCTTCCCCAGTCCTGTCGGGAAGACTACAGATGCATGAGAATTGGGTGGTAGCCTTGGGGGAAGAATTAGGCGTGGCACTGGGTAGGTGTGGGCTTATTGGGGTGAACTGATGGTGGGGTGAGTAATAAGTGATCAAGTCCAACAGGGACGTCATTGAAGGTGGGGCTGGACAGGAGGCTGTGATTGGATGATGGAGGGGTGGGAGAATAGGAGAACCAATAAGTGACCCACAAGGGGATAGGTGGGCAGGCTCAGGGAACTTTCAGATCTGTGGACTGACCGTGGCAGGTGGCAGGGAGAGGGGCTGCATGTGCCATGGTTGTTGATAGGCTCAGGGAGCCCCAAGAGGCACAAGGATGGGGGATGGGGGAATGGACAGAGCAGGGGTGGGGCATGTGGTGGCAATTTTGTGAGATGGTTGGGTGAGTAAGTGGAAGCAATGGATGGTGACTTGGGTGGGAGGAGTAATTAATGCACTTGTAGATGGATATGCAGACCTGCGCAAGAGTTTTAAGAAATGAGTGGATTGGAGATGTGCAGATCAATCAAGGGATTGGTTGGTTGGATCCATGAGTTGATAGGTGGGTAGGTGGATGAATAGATGGATGGATAGGTGGGTGGGTAGAAGGATGGATGGATGGATGGGTGGATGGGTGGATGGATGGGTGGGTGGATGGATGGATGGATAGGTGGGTGGGTAGATGGATGGATGGATGGGTGGGTGGGTGAATGGACAGATGGATGGGTATATGGGTGAATGGATGGATGGATGGATGGATGAATGGATGGATGGATGGATGGGTGGATAGATAGGTGGATGAATGAATGGATGGGTTGATGGATGGATGGATGGATAGAGGAGTAGATGAATGAATGGATGAGTGGATGTGTGGATGGATGGATAGGTAAGTGGGTAGATGGATGGGTAGGTGGATGAGTGGATGCATGGGTGGGTGGTGGATGGAGGGATGGGTGGATAGATGGATGGATGGATGGGTGGGTGGGTGGGTGGATGGATGGATGGATGGGTGGGTGGGTGGATAGATGGATGGGTGGTGGATGGAGGGATGGGTGGATAGATGGATGGATGGATGGGTGGGTGAGTGGGTGGATGGATGGATGGATGGGTGGGTGGGTGGATAGATGGATGGGTGGATGGATGGATGGATGGGTGGGTGGGTGAGTGGGTGGATGAGTGGATGGGTGGGTGGATGAGTGGATGGGTGGATGGGTGGGTGGATGGATGGATGGATGGGTGGGTGGATGGATGGATGGGTGGGTGAGTGGGTGGATGGATGGGTGGATGGATGGATGGATGGGTGGATGGGTGGATGGATGGATGGATGGATGGATGGATGGGTTGGTGAGTGGGTGGATGGATGGGTGGGTGGATGGATGGGTGGGTGGATGGATGGATGGATGGATGGATGGGTGGGTGGGTGGGTGGGTGGGTGGATGGGTGGATAGATGGATGGGTGGGTGGGTGGATGGATGGGTGGGTGGGTGGGTGGGTGGATGGATGGATGGGTGGATGGATGGATGGGTGGGTGGATGGATGGATGGATGGATGGATGGATGGATGGATGGATGGATGGATGGATGGGTGAGTGGATCGATGGATGGATGGATGGATGGATGATGGATGGATGGATGGGTTGGTGAGTGGGTGGGTGGGTGGATGAGTGGATGGATGGATAGATGGATGGACAGATGTGTTTCTTGTGGGGTGGCTGGAACTTTTGGACACATCTAGGGACTTGGGGAAGTGGACAGACATCCTCTTTCCACACCCATCCCGGTCCCACCTCAGCTTTCCGCGGTCCCCTCCCTGTCCCCGCAGGCGCCCCGGACCCCACGGCGGGCGCGGGCATCGAGGATGCCAACTGCTGGCACCTGGACGAGGGGCAGATCCAGGAGCAGGTGAAGCAGCTGCTCTCCAACGGCGCCTACTACGGGGCCAGCCAGCAGCTGCGCTCCATGTTCGGCAAGGTGCTGGGGGAGGGGGGGCGCGGGAGGCGCGGGCACGGGAGGGGGGGACCCCGCCACCCCTTCCTCACCCCCGCCCCTCCCGTGCCACCCAGGTGCGGGAGATGCTGCGCATGCGGGACTCGAACGGGGCGCGCATGCTCATCCTCATGACCGAGCAGTTCCTGCAGGACCCGCGCCTGGGCCTGTGGCGGCAGCAGGGCGCGGGCATGACGGACCGATGCCGGCAGCTGTGGGACGAGCTGGGTAAGGCCCGGGCCTGGGTGGGCGACGCCCATCGGGTACCTGCAGTCCTCCAGCCCCTGCGGCTGCCAGCAAGCCGGCTTAAATACTAGGGGGCGGCTGGGCGGGGCTTAGCGACGGGGCGTGGTCTTCTGTTGTGGGCGGGGCTTGTTAAATGTAGGCGGGGCTGGTGACCTCTTGATTAGGATGCGTAAGGCTCTAGGCTCCATCCTCAGCAAATCAAATACATGAAAGGGGGGTGGGGGGAGTTACCAAGTGGGCATGGCAGTGTTCTAGTAAAACTTGTTTTTTGTTGTTTTGCCAGTCCTGGGGCTTGAACTCAGGACCTGTCCCTGAGCCTCTTTGTACTCAAGGCTAGCACTCTACCACTTGAGTTACAGCTACATTCCAGCTTTTTGGTGGTTCATTGGTAATAAGAGACTTTACTGTCTGGGCTGACTTTCAGCCAAGATCCTCAGATCTCAGCCTCCTGAGTAGCTAGGATTACAGGAAGGAACCACCAGCACCTGGCGATATTTTTATTTTTTAAAATACTTTCTCCCAGCTTTGGGAGAAAGTATGTGGCTCAGTGGTGGAGCACTGGCCTAGCATGCATGAAGCCCTCGGTTCGATTCTTCAGAACCACATACACAGAAAAAGCCGGAAGTGGCGCTGTGGCTCCAGTGGTAGAGCGCTAGCCTTGAGCTGAAGAGCTGAGGGACAGCGCCCAGGTCCAGAGTTCAAGCCCCACGACCAACAAAAAATAAAAAATATAAACAAAAGCAACCTTAAAAAATATAAACAAAAGCAACCCAAAAAGCTGCCCATGGTGGCTCATGGCTACTCAGGAAGCTGAAACCTAAGGATTGAGGTTCGAAGCCAGCCTGGTAGTTACTCTAGAAGTAGAATCTCAAGGAGTCTGCAAGAAGCTAGAAGTAGAGGCATGGCACAAGTAGTACAGCACAAGACTTGAGTGGACAAGACAAGCAGAAGTTCAAAGTCCTGAGTTCAAGCTCCAGTTGCGCACGCGCGCGCGCACACACACACACACACACACACACACACACACTATTAAGCGGGACAGTCTTCAGCAGGGCGCTGCCCCTGTGGCTCGTGCCGGACCCCCACCCCATGCCTTCCCAGGGGCCTTGTGGGTCTGCATCATCCTGAGCCCCCATTGCAAGCCAGAGGAGCGTGCGGGCTGGCTGCAGCTGCTCGCCACGTGGGACAAGCTGGACGCGTGCCCCTTGGAGGAGGGCCAGTATACCTTCCACGGCCCAAACCTGCAGCCCACAGCGTCTCCCAGCCAAGGTAAGAGCTGTGCCCAGAAAAAAAACCGCATCAATACCTCCGTCATGACTCTGTGTCTCAGGAGACAGACGGAGTGTGAGGAAGGGAAAGGGGAATGCTAACCATTTAGTGTCCTCCCAGCCAGAGGGAGGAAGTATTGAGGGCAGGAGCAATGGTGGCTTGGAAGGCGTCTGCAGCCCTAGGCTGGTCTCCTGGCTCCAAGCAACGGAGGATGGAGAGAGAGAGAAGACAGGTGGGGGAGGAGTAAGGAGAGGAAGAGATGCAGAGATGCAGAGAGAAGAGAGTGGAGGAGATTGGGGCAACAGACAGACACAGGATTGATCCTGTCTTCACCTCAGGAAAGCTGGTCTAGCCCCAGGTTGGTGCCCGGTGGAGGAAGCTTCCCGGCCATCTGTGTACATCCCCTGACAGGACCCCATTGGCCTCTGTTCCGCAGGCTCGGAGGAGGAGGAGGGGACCGCCGCCAGTGCCCGCCACACCATCTTTGGCCGTGCCCTGCAGGCGGGGCAGCTCCACTGGGGAAACACACACCTGCAGAGCATCCTGTCCAGCGACTCCCACGGCCCCCACCTCCTGGGCAGCATCGGCCCGGACAAGACGAACTTTGACCCTCAGGGCCGCCCTCTGTGGCTGGGCGAACCTCTCCCCATTGCCTGCGCCCGTGTGGACACCCTGCGGGCCCACGGCTATCCCCGCCAGGCCCTGCGGCTGGCCAGTGCCATCATCAACACGCTCCGGCTGCAGAGACGCCACCAGCTGGAGAGCTACAAGCAGAGGAAAAAAGGTGGGTACAGATGCTGTCCTGGGGGGGAATGGGGGCCTGCACACCCCAGTGCCAACCACACGGGGGCAGCAGCGAGCTGGACGCGCCCACCAGCCCTCCAGGTGTCCCGAGCAGGAAGGAGCTTAATACAGGGTATTGAAGATGGCCCAGGCAGTGACAGAAATCCTGGTCTCATTTCCTGGCCATCAGCATCTGGTGCAAAGGAGTCTGGGAAATGTGGCGTGGTGCTGCAGGGAGGCGCCGGCCTCCTGAGAGGCTTGGAAGACGGGGAGTTGTGGATGTGGAATGCTTTTGACTTTGTGTTTCACATAAACCAAAGACCCGGAAGCCAAAGAAAGAATCGTGAGCCGGGTGCCGGTGGCGCGCCCCTGTCCATCCAACTGCCCGGGAGGCTGAGAGCTGAAGGCCACGGTTTGAAGCCAGGCCAGACGATTAATCTTCAAGTAGCCACCAAAAAAAAAAAAGCCAGAAGTGGGACTGTGGCTCAGCTGGTAGAGCACTAGCCTTGAGTGGAAAAACGCCAAGTAAGAGAGCACAAGGCCCGAGTTCAAGCCACAGTTTCAGTAGAAAGGAAAAGAAGCAAAGAGACAGGGGACAGGGAGGCTTCCACGACATTTCTCCAGGAGGTGGGGGTGAAGAAGCCATGACCCGGAAGTCAAACAGGATGACAGTGATGGAAGGGCCGAGGGGGGGGGGGCATACTTGTTCAGAGCCCTGGCCACCCCCCCCCCCAGGTCCTCCAGAGGAGGCGGGAGGTTAGTGGTAACGGGGCAGGAGCGCAGTAGAGCCCAGGGCTTGGAGGAGGGGCTTGGTGCAGCGCCTCCAGTCAGGCAGGACTCAAGCTGTTTGGACTCAAGTGTCAAGACTAGGAATTGGGAGGGGGCGATGAGGAGGCGGAAGCCCCCCTCAGGGGTCTGGGTGGATGGCGGGAACTGAGCTGCCTCGCTCCCCCTGCAGATCTGTTGGAGAAGGGGGTGAGCAGCGTGGTGCACGTGGAAGGCTGGGTGGGCCACCCCCTGGACCCCATCGGCTGCCTCTGCAGGGCGCTGCTGGAGGCCTGTCGCCTGGAGGAAGAGTCGCTCTCTCTGTACCCAGGTACCCACTTGGGGGACCCATGGCGGGGGCGGGGCAGCCCCCACTGTCCTCCATGCCCCTGTCACCTTAACTCTTGGCCACGCCTCGGGGTTGTGCCAGGAGCCAATAAGCTTTCACCTCTCTGGAGGGTGAGGTCACCATAGGCCTCATTCTTGCTTGAAACGCAGATCCCGCCCATTGGCGAATGTTGGGAAGTTTGGGGTGGCCTCCCCCCCCAAAAAAAGCACCCCATCCTACCCCGGCCTCAGGGGTCCCCAAGGAGGGGCTCTGCCCTCCTTAGCCCTGGCCTCGTCTCCCCCAGACTCAGGCTCCGAGAAGAGGAAGGTGTCCTACCAACACGTGCCGGTGCCCGGGAGTCCTGGCGAGTCCTACCTGGCGCTGGCGCTGGAGGTGGCCTTGCTGGGGCTGGGCCAGCAGCGGGCCCTGCCCGAGGGCCTGTACGCCCAGGATAAGGTGGTGCGCCACGAGGAGCAGCTGCTGGCCATGCTGGAGGAGGTGGAGCTGGACGACCGGCTGGTGCAGGTGCTGCGCAAGCAGGCGGGGCTGCTGCTGGAAGGTGAGGCCCCGCCCCTGGCCCCGCCTCCCGGGCCTTCCAGTCACTCATGCCCCCCAGGGCAGCTCCTAGTGGTCAGATCAGCTCGCGGTCCCGCCTCCACCGGTTTCTGGCAGCCAATGAAGGGTGTGGCCCTGCCCCTTGCTTGTTGGGAGGCCTCATCCTTGATACTGGAATGGGAGGCAGGCCCACCCCCGGGAGTACCATATGCTCCACCTCCTGGGCCTCTTTGGCCCCGCCCCTGGCGTGTTTTTATTGGCTTGTTAGCTGAGACTCCGCCCCATATTGCAGCAGAAGCCAATCACCGCTGTCCTCTGCAGATCCTCCAACGTGGTTGGGTCAGCCTTGCTGGTCTTGGGTCCGAGGCTGCACCCCAGTGGCAGACCGGCCTCTTGGACCTCCAGCCCCACTCAGCTTAGGAGTCCTGCCCCCACCAGGCTGCACTCTGGGACTCTTCTCGCACTTTCCAGTGCTTGTCTGGGTCTCTGCCCAGAGCTCCTCCCATCCTCCACCTGGCATCTGGGGGACCCGGGAGCGGGGGCTGGCTGAGCTCAGGCTGTCCCTGCAGGCGGCCCCTTCAGCGGCTTCGGGGAGGTGCTCTTCCGGGAGAGCGTGCCCATGCACACGTGCGCGCGCTACCTGTTCTCCGCGCTGCTGCCCCACGACCCCGACCTGGCCTACCGCCTGGCACTGCGAGCCATGAGGTGAGCGCGGGCCCCCGGGCGTCCCGGGGGGGGCCTGCAGCCCTCGGGCTTGCACTCACAGGGCCTGCTTCTTCAGTCTCAACCTTGGCATCCGGTGCCACCCTGGCCTTTGCATGGTTAAATGTATGGTGTAGAGCTGGCGCTCTACCCCTTGAGCCATGGCTTCACTGTGGGCTTTTTTGATGGTTCATTGGAGCTGAGAGTCTCATGGGCTTTGCTGCAGTGGCTGACTTTGAACCAAAATCCTCAGATCGCAGCCTCGGATCCCCCCTCTCCCTACCCGCAGGCTCCCATCCCCAGTGCTGTTTTAGCCTCCTTATGTGGGAGAATTGATGTTTGGCCAATTTAAATGGTTGTCCTTCAGATCTGTCCATGTGGCTGTGAGTGGCAGGACTTCCTGCTTTTTTATGGCTGAATAGTATTCCATTGTGCATATAGACACACAGTGTCCTCTATTGCTGGACCCAGGGTTGACTTTATATCTTGCCTGCAGTGATGAGTGCTGGAGGAGAGACAGGTGCACGGTCTACAGTAGGTTTGTGTGTGTGTGTGTGTGTGTGTAATGCAGATTTCCATACCAGCTGCACTTATTTACATCCTACCCAAGGCAGGCTTTTTCCTCTCACATACTCACCAGCAGGTGTTTCTCTTTTCTCTTTCTTGTGTTGAGACTGGCTGTGCAGGCCAGCTTGGCCTTGAACTCACCATGTGGCCATCTTCCTGCCCCAACCTCCAGATCTTCCCACCTTAGTCTCCTGAGTGCTGGGATTACAGGCATACTCCATTACACTTGGCTCACCCTCTCTTATAAACAACAGCACAATGGGCATCTTGCTTACATGCTTTCCCTTCTTCCTGGGTGCCCAGGATTCTGCTGGCCAAAGAGGGGAAACTGAGGCTAGGGGTCTATGGGGCTCTTCATCCAAAGATCACAGCTTTGTCTCACAGCAGCCTTGTTGGTTTCCTGCCCAGACTGCCGGTGCTGGAGACTGGGTTCCGGGCCGGAGAAACTCATCCCAGCCCGCCGGGCTCCACCATGGGCACCCGCGTCCCCCGCTGGTTCATTCTTGGGCACCTGGAGACCCGCCAGTGTGAGCTGGCCTCCACCATGCTGACCGCCGCCAAGGGTGAGGATCTCTGCTCTGGCCTCGCTTCCTCAGCCTCCTCCTCTTCCAGCCTCTTCTTTCTTTCCGCCGTTCAGGACCTACGTGCTGTTTCTGGGCTTTCAGGGTCAAGACTGGTGCTCTACCCCTTGAGTCACAGCTCCACTTCCAGCTTTTTGAGTGATTAGTTGGAGATAGGAGTCTCATAGAGTTTCTTGGCAGGCTGGCTTTGAACTGCGATCCTCAGATCTCAGCCTGCTGAGTAGCTAGGATTACAGGTGTCACCACGCCCTTTTTTTTTTTTTTACCAGTCCTGAGGCTTGAACTCAGGGCCTGGGCAGCTGTCCCTGAGCATGTTTGCTGAAGGCTAGCACTCTACCACTTGAGCCAGAGCATCACCTCCAGCTTTTTCTGTGTCTGTGGTACTGAGGAATGGAACCCAGGGCTTCGTACATGCTAGGCAAGCACTCTACCACTGAGCCACCTTCCCAGCTCAATCCAGGGCCTTTTTGCATTCGGATCTAGTGCTCTACCCCACAGAACCATGCCTCCACTACGATCCAGACCTTCACTGCTGAGCACACTAAACCATGCCCCTGCAATCTAACCATTCCCTCAGCCAGTGAGCTACAGCCACCACAAACCACACCCCTGCTGCAGAGTCTCCCTTCAACTACTGAGCCACATCCTTTACTTTGTAGGGTATTGGGGAAAAAATCAGCTAAGAGGGGTGACTCATACCTGTCATCCCAGCTACTCAGGAGGCTGAGCTCTAACGATGCCAGAGCAAGCCCAGGAAAGAAAACAAACAGCTAACATTCATGTATTGCAGGTTCTCAGGGACTGGGAGGCAGGTACCTACGTTGCTTTGGTGTAATGCATTTTACAGATGGCTCAGCAAAGACCCAGAGTGGGCAAGTGGGTTGCTGAAAACCACACAGCGCATGAGTGGCACGATGGGGATTCAAATCCTAGCATTCTGTGTCCAGAGTTGATGCCTTTGGTGATGACCCGATGCTGGTGGCGCGGGAAAGGGAGCGCAGAGTAGACCACAGGCATGGAGGAGGAGAATGATTAGGGTGTGGATCTTTGCAGAACTGCCTGGACTGGCTGTAGACGCATGCGCATGCCCCCGGTAGTGGAAGCCCTGTGGGCAGGGCCTCCGGCTGCAGCGCAAAGTGCCGGGTTGGGGAGAAAGGGATTCAGCCACGTCCTCGTCCCTCCTTCCACCCAGGAGACCCCAAGTGGCTGCACGCGGTGCTGGGCTCCATCCAACAAAACATCCACTCTCCGGCCTTGCTCTTCAAGCTGGCGCAGGACGCCTGCAAGACGGCCACCCCGGCCAGCGCGCCGCCGGACACCACGCTGCTGGGCATCGCGCTGGAGCTGGGGCTGCAGGTGACGCCCAGGTGGAGGGAAGAAGAGCTGGGGCCTGAGAGATCACCACGCCTTCGATGGGGCGTGCCTTCGCATGGCCACGCCCCGTGGGCGGGGCCGACGGCCTGTCTAGGCATAGGGGTGTGCCCCTGTGGTGAAGATGGAGGCCACGCTGCAGGAGCGCAGCAAGCCTGGGGGCGGGGCTATGCGGCAGGGGCGGGGCCACGTGGCAGAACCCTTACTTGGCATTCCAGCCTCCTCCAGCTCGGGGGAGGGCAGGGGCGGAGCCTGGGTCTGCTCCCTGCTGCTACTGGTTAGGGACCATGAGTGTGGGCGGGGCTGAAAGGAAGGATGCCACAAAGTCAGCCAATAAGGAGCACCCTTGGGGGCGGGGCTTGAACTCGGCCTGGGCGCTACCCCTCAGCTCTTCAGCTCAAGGCGAGCGCTTTACCACTTGAGCCACAGCGCCACTTCCTTTTTCCTGGTGGTTCACTGGAGTTCAGAATGTTACGGTAGCCTGGCGCCAGTGGCTCACGCCTGTAATCTTAGCTATTCAGGAGGCTGAAGATCTCGGTTCAGATTTCCTTGGGCCCCTCAAGGGGACTCTCCCCTTCCCCCCCTCCCTCCACGGTAGCTCCCCAGTCCGCCTGGAGACTCTTTAAGAGCTCCCTTCTCTTCCCTGCACCACGCTGTAGGTGATGCGGATGACCCTGAACACCATGACGTGGCGCCGGCGGGAGATGGTGCGCTGGATGGTCAGCTGTGCCACGGAGATGGGTGAGAGCCGGGGAGGGACGTGTCGCCTCCCAGTTCTGGTTCTAGATATCTCTGGGGGAACTGAGTGGAGACTTTTCTGGGGATGCAGACTGTGCTGGGAGTGGAGAGAAAGAGAGAGGATGGAACGGCCAGGCACAAGCAGAAAGAGGTCTCAAATCCTAGCCTTCCACACCTGCGGTTCCAGCCCAGTACACTTTCCCCCTGCTCCATCGGAAAGCTACTGAGTTTCTGTCCACATCTAGTATGGTAACGCACACCTGTAATCCCAGCACTCGGGAGGCAAGCTAGAGCAGGAGGATCTCAAGCTGGGCTGCACTGGGGACAGGTGGCTTACGCCTGTAATCCCAGCTACTCAGAAGACAGACCTGAGAATTGTGGTTCCAACCTAGCCTGGGTAAAAAAGTCCCAGAGGTTTTTTTTTTTCTTTCGGTTGTGGGGCTTGAACTCAGGGCCTGGGCGCGGCCCCTGAGCCTTTCCACTCAAGGCAATGCTCTACCACTTGAGCCACAGCGCAGCTTCCAGTTTTCTGGTGGTTCATTGGAGATGAGAGTCTTCATGGACTTCCCTGCCCAGGCTCGCTTTGAACCATGATCCTCAGATCTCAGCCTCCTGAGTAGCCAGGATGACAGGCCTTCTTATCTCCAACTAGCTACTCCCCCCCCCCCAAAAAAAAGGTGAAGCAGAGCTGTGGCTCAAGTGGTAGAGTGCCAGCCTTGAGCGAAAAAGCCAAGCCAAGTGAGAGGGCCTGGGGTTGGGGATTTAGCTCAGTCAAAGCAAAGCCCTGAGTTCAGCCCCCAGCTCTGGGGCCTGAGTTCAAACCCCAGTCTACCACACCCACAGCCAACGTCTAGGGTGGAGTTGCGGCTCAGGTGGTAGAGCACCCATCTAGTCAATCCAAGCCCCTAATTCCACCCCAGTATCGGAGAGAGAAAGGCTCGGTCCAGCACGGTGAACGAGTGGTTGGGCCATGGCCACCGGGCCTGGCTGTCCAGCGCGATCGCCTCCCCCCCCCGTGGGTGTGGGTGCGGGGCGCACGCGGGTCCTGCGGGGAGGGGGTGTCTCTGAGCCTCGCCCCTCCCCCCAGGCGCTCCCGCCCTGATGAAGGTCATGAAGAGCTGGTCCTCGCTGTTCACGCCGGTGGAGGCGGCCACCCTGGTGGCGGTGACGGCCACCACGCACGCCACGCTGCTGCGGCTGCAGCTGGACGCGGCGCGGCGCGAGGAGCTGTGCGCATGCGCGCGCGCGTTGGCGCTGCAGTGCGCGCTGCGGGACCCGCAGAACTGCGCGCTGCCCGCGCTCACGCTGTGCGAGGGCCACCAGGCCGCCTTCGAGGCCACCTACCAGATCGTGCTGGACGCGGCGGCCGGGGGCCTGGGCCACGCGCACCTCTTCACGCTGGCGCGGTACATGGAGCACCGCGGCCTCCCCCTGCGCGCCTACAAGCTGGCCACGCTGGCGCTGGCGCAGCTCAGCATCGCCTTCAACCAGGACAGCCACCCCGCCGTGAACGACGTGCTGTGGGCCTGCTCGCTCAGCCACGCGCTCGGCCGCCGCGAGCTGTCGGCCATCGTGCCGCTCATCATCCGCAGCGTGCACTGCGCGCCGACGCTCTCCGACATCCTGCACCGCTGGACGCTGCCCGCGCCCGGGCTCGGGCCCCTCGGGGGCCCCCGGCGCGCCGCCAAGCCGCCGCTGGGCGCCGACCGGGCCCCGCTGTGCCAGCTCCTGGACGCCGCCGTGGCCGCCTACATCGCCACCAGCCACTCGCGCCTCACCCACATCAGCCCGCGCCACTACGCCGACTTCATCGAGTTCCTGGACAAGGCCCGACGCACCTTCCTGCTGGCGGCCGACGGCCACGTGCAGTTCGCGCAGTTCCTGGACAGCCTCAAGCACACCTACAAGGGCAAGAAGAAGCTCATGCTCTTGGTGCGGGAGCGATTCGGGTGAGGGGGTTCGCGGGTGGCCAGGGGGGACCCCCCCTACACACACACCCCGATCTCCTGGCACCTGGGTCAGTATTAAGTCAGGGAAAGAGTCCCGAGGGGAGGGTCCCGCCCCGTCTGTGCCTAGCCGTGTGCCATTCGTGTGCCAGAGACTCAGGAGCAAAAGCCATACCACCACCACCCCAGAGGCCCGGAGGGGGGGCGGTGTATCGGGTCCCCCCCCCCACATTAGCAATAGGCAAGCTCCCCACTCTCCAAGTCCCGGGCCTGGCCGAGTCCCCTCCCCCCACCTGAGGAGCTGCGAGGCAGGGCTGGCCAGAAGCTGCCCCCCCCACAACATGGCAGACCCCCTGCCCACCCAGGGCCACCCCGGAACTTATATTAGCTTGTCTGAACCCCTTTTCCATTTTTCCTACCCACTCCCCACTGCTCAGGGGCCCATCCTAGCAGCCCTGCGCCCCCAGCCAGAACCAGGAAGGATTTCAAGAGACCGATCGTAGGCCTGCGTTACATACCTCACCCCACCCCTAGGCCTCTGTCCAGCCAGCACCCCCCTTCCCTTAGGCACCAGTGGGGCGATCGCCACCCCACCTCAGTCACTGGATGCATAACTCAGGAAGTAACCTCAGCCTGGCTACTCCCCAGCTAGGTGCTGGGGATACAGACACGAGAGCCAGCGAACCCCGCCAACCCCCCTCGACCCCATCCGGAACTAGGGGCAGCTTGGTGTATTCTGACTGTCCATCTCCTGCCAGCTTCACCCCAATGTCCCCCTCTCCCCAGAGAGGGGACAGGGTGCCCTGCCCCGACCCAGCGCTCTGGCTTCTCCTTGGTTGTACATTAAGGAAAAAGTTGGCGTCATTTTGTAACTTCCTTTTTCTATTTATTGAACCAGACATTGTACTGCCTTTGATCCTGTCTTTATTTTTTTCGAAGATGGGCACGCAGCCTCGTTGCGACCTTGCGCCCCTGGGTGAGGCCTCAGCGCCCCCACGCCACCACCGGGCCAGGGCCACCGAGCGGTCCTTCTGCAAAAAAGAAAAAAAGTCTGCAGCTCCCTTGGGGCGCTCGATGGGGGCTGGAGAAGCAGCCATCCTCATTCATCGCCGGCCGCATCCGCAGCCCCGGCGCCGCCGGGAGCGGCCGCCAGGGGGCGCCCCGGCCGCGCGCGCTCGCCATCCCGGGTCACTTATCCACAGGGGAATCCTGAGCTGAGGTTAGGCCCCGCCCCGCGGGGCGTGGCTTAGAGTGTTTTCCTCCTCCCCATTGGTGGGTGTGGTCGGTTTGCTTACATGTTGTGGGCGTGGTCAGGAGGTGTCTGAGCTTTTAGGCAAATGAGGCTCCCCAGACTCCAATAGATCGCCACGTCTGGGGGCGTCAAGGAAGTCGCTGGCAGTCTTCCTTCGGTGGCTCCCCGAAAAGCAGCTCCGTTCCAGCCTTTCGAATCTGACCGTGTCCCGCTCCCCCCCTCCTCCGGGGCAACCGAGGACAGTCGGCCAGGAGGGGAGGCGGAGCAGCTGGTGGGAGCCTCGACTGCGCGCGCAACAAGGGGCGGAGCTTCGACCAGCGCGGGCCTGGTGATTGGCTAGCGGCCCCGCCTTGCGAGTCTGCGCGGGCGGATCCCGGGGCGGCTGCGTGTCCGCCGCGCCCCCTGGCGGCCACAGCTGCTGCTGCGCCCGCCGCGGCCCTTGCTGTCTCCAAAATGCCAGCCTCGGACCTGGGGGTCCCCAAGTTCCACCGAAACAGATACCGGGCACCCAAGTAGCTCTGCCCTCCCCTCCAATCTGGGTAATCCGCTAGGTCCCAGCCCCCACATGGGGTCACCCTGCCACCCCCGGGACACCCTGACGGTCGCGCTTCGAAGCCTCTGTCCTGGGGAACCCATTTCCACCTCCCAGGGAGCGGATGGGGCCTGGGGGGGGACGTGGGGGGGCCAGGAGCCCAGCGCGGCTGCGCGGCAGGAAACCGGGCCCGTGTGCATTTCACGGAACAGGTGTGAGCAGCGCGCGCAGCCGGGCGCCCGGCCCGGGCGGGGGTGCGGACGGGCGGGGGTGCGGACACGGGCCCGGGCGGGGGTGCGGACACGGGCCCGGGCGGGGGTGCGGACACGGGCCCGGGCGGGGGTGCGGACGCGGGCGCGGGCGGGGGCGCGGACACGGGCCCGGGCAGGGGTGCGGCGGCCCGGGCGGGGGTGCGGACACGGGCGCGGGGCAGGGGTGCGGGCGCGGGGCAGGGGTGCGGACGCGGGAGCGGGCAGGGGTGCGGACACGGGCCTGGACGGGGGTGCGGACACGGGGCCGGGCGGGGGTGCGGACACGGGCGCGGGGCAGGGGTGCGGACAGGGGCCTGGGGTAGGGGTGCGGACAGGGGCCCGGGCAGGGGTGCGGACACGGGCGCGGGGCAGGGGTGCGGACGCGGGCCCGGGCAGGGGTGCGGACGCGGGCCCGGGCAGGGGTGCGGACACCGGCCCGGGCAGGGGTGCGGAGGCACGGGCAGGGGTGCGGACAGGGGCCCGGGCAGGGGTGCGGACGCGGGAGCGGGCAGGGGTGCGGAGGCACGGGCAGGGGTGTGCACGCGGCCGCCCGGCCTGCGCAGGCGCGGGGCTCTGTCAGCGGCCCCGGAGGCGGAGTCAGGACGCCGGGCTCACACTTGGGGTTTTCTTCTGTCGCTCACAGGACTTGAACTCAGGGCCTGGGCGCTGTCCCGAGTTCTTTTCTCAAGGCCAGCGCCCTAGCCCTGGGAGCCGGCGCCACTCCCGGTTTTCTAGTGGTTTTATTGGAGCCAGTCTCCCGGCCTCTGCTGCCCAGGCTGGCTTCGAACCTCGATCCTCGGATCTCAGCCTCCAGAGGAGCTGGGATGACCGCCGGGCGCGGCTGCCCACAAGCTGGCTTTACTTATTTTTTGCTCCACCGCTCGAGCCGCGCCTCCGCCGCCAGCTTTGGGCTGCGGGCGCTGGGCTGACTCGGAGCTCAGCCCGCAGCGGTGCGGGCGCCGGGCGGGGGTGGGCAGGCCTCGAACCCTTCCAGGCCCCCAAAACCGCCCAGGGAAAAACTCAGCTGTCCTTGGGCCCCAAGTCCGTGCCCATAAAAGGGTCCCCCCAGACGGGGGGCATCGGTGGGTTGGGGTCCCCGCTGCTGCCCGCGCGGGGCGCTGGGGGGCGGAGGCCGCTGGCTTCCGGAAGGTGGAAGTTAGCACTTAACGGCCAGGGGCCTGAGCCGGCTTCCTCTTGAGTAACTGGCTGCCGAGAAGGCGCAGGGGTGGGGGCCGACTCCCCCCTGCCCCCTCCCCGCTGCGAAAAGGGGGTGCCTGGGACAGGGCTTCAGTTCCCTACAGAAAATGCAGCAGGCTGGTTAATGGATTGAGTGTTTAATGAGCGCAGGGCCCGGCCGCTCCCGAGCTCTTCACGCCAGGCTGCTGCTCTACCCCTTGAGCCACAGCGCCACCTCCGACTTTTGCCGGTTCATTGGAGATAAAGAGACACACTTTCCTGCCCAGGTTGGCCTTGAACCCTGATCCTCTCTCAGATTTCAGCCTCCAGAATAGCTGGGATGACAGGTATGAGCCGCTGGTGCCTGGCTGGCTTGTCTTTTGTTTTTGTCAGTCCTGGGTCTTGAACTCCGGGTCTGGGCGCTGTCCCTCAGCTCTTCAGCTCAAGGCCAGCGCTCTACCACTTGAGCCACAGCGCCACTTCCGGCTTTCTCCGCATATGGGGTGCTGAGGAATGGAACCCAGGGCCTCAGGCATGCGAGGAAAGCGCTCTACCACTGAGCCACCTTCCCAGCCCTGGCTTGTGTTTCAATGTTAGGAAAATGCACACCCTCAGACCCCAAATCCACCAGTCCACCGGAGGGCGCAGCCCAGCCCGGGTGGATTCCTGGGTGCAGACCTGCCGGGTGCGGGGCGGGGCTCCAGCGGGAGGGGCTCCTGGCCTCAGCTCTGGGCACCCCTCCTCCCATGCAGGGCGGGGCTGCAGGCTCCGAGGGGGCTGGACCCCTGTTCCTGCTGAACTGAGCCAGTGCGATCAAACCAACTGTGTTTCAGCTCAGTAGGCACGGGAGGCAAAGCCCGGGGAGGCTGAGCCCCGGAGGCCCAGCGGGAGGAGGCTGGCCTGCGGCGGGGCCGCGGACAGGCACTGGAGGAGGTGGCCCGGGGGGGCGGAACTTAGCCACTGTGAACATCGCGGTAGAAACCCTGCTCACAAGAGGCTAAGCCCTGCTCCTCCAGCCACAGAGCACAGGCTGGGGGGGGGGGCTTCTGGGGGCTCCCGCCGTCCGGGCCGGGGTGCAGGTCATCTCCGCCACAGCGATGGCCCCGGAGGCGAAGCTCAGGGTCAGTTGGAAATCCCTGGCAATGTGATTTGTGATTTAGCTGCAAATCCCATCCCCAGGAACCCCAGCTGGCCGAGGCACGGAGGGGGGGCCGGGAGCACCGCAGACCCCGGGAGCACCGCACGCGCCACCTGGAGAGGGGAGGACAAAGGTGACGAGACGTGAGGAGTTCGAGCGCCCTGACACCCCCTCCCGCCGCCCCCCCACGCCCCCCTGACACCCCCTCCCGCCGCCCCCCCCCCCGCCGCCCCCCCCCCCGCCGCCCCCCCACGCCGCCTTCAGACGTCAGCCAGGAAAGCTGACTCAAAGCCGGTCATCCTGCGTGACTCGCGCCTGGCATCCCGGCTCCGCAGGGAGGCTGAGATCTGAGGATCGTGGTGCAAAGCCAGCCTGGGCCGGAAAGTCCAGACATGTATCTCCCATAAACCCCCAGAACGCTGAGAGAAGAGCTGTGGCTCAAGGGGCAGAGCACCAGCCTTGAGCCAATCAGCACCGGGTGCAGCACGCAGGCGCACCAGGTCAAGTCCCAAGACCAGCATCAAAAAAAAGCAAGAGCCGGCGCCAGTGGCTCCCGCCTGCCATCCCAGATACTCGGGAGGCTGAGATCTGAGGACCGCGGTTCAAAGCCAGCCCGGGCAGGAAAGTCCAGGAGACTCTGATCTCCCATGAACCACCAGAAAACCGGAAGTGGGGCTGTGGCTCAAGTGGTAGAGCGCTCGCCTTGAGCTGAAGAGCTGAGGGACAGCGCCCAGGCCCAGAGTTCAAG